TCTACACTGCAACAACTAATCATATCTGCTACCTTAGCCAACCTTAAAAACCTCTTAAACCCACTGCAAGATCTTTGCGCCAATGGACGAGAAATTCTGACAAAAGAGTGTGCTCTTGGATTGTCAGAAAGTCTCTAATGTCAGCACGGCACAGCCACACACACACACACACACACACACGCACACACACACACGCGCACACACACAGAGAGCTTGGAGCCGTATTTGAACTTCCGGGGGTGACTGTGCGACTTGGCTCGGGGAGAATGAGCGAATGGACTGTTGGGGAGCGAGTTTGGGCGCGGCTGCGTGGGCAGGGCAGCTGGCCAGCCCGGATCGCCCAGCCGACGACAACAGAACAGGTACGACCCGCCGCTGACCAACCGGAGGCGGGCGATGGCGGAGGGAAACACTGCCAGCATCTGACCCTCGAGACCTGCATCTCCTTGCGCAGCGCACGCTTTGCCGCAAACACCGTGGCTCAGACCATCAACTTGTTGTCTTCTTTGGATCTGAAGACTGGTGCGCCCACGCTCTCGCGCGCCATCCCGCTGGCTTCCGGAGCAACGCTTTGAGCCGACTCACTCTGGATGATCGCGTGGTCGCTTGGCTTCATTTCCTCTGCCCCGGATAGTGCGGTGGTGCCACCAGCCCAGTTGCAACCCTTTGAAGGCCCACATGCACCCGCTCTTCGCCGCGCACGTCGGAGCAAGGCCTTTCGTGCAGCGCTTGCTGCCGCTGACCAAGCACCGGGTTCAGACACGGATTCTATCCCACGCCCCAAGCGTGTCAAATCAGAACCCAAGCCCGCAGATGTGGGAAACAAGATTCTAGCGTCCAAGGATGAGCAAGACGCTGCGCACGACAATGATGATGATAATGATAATGATGACGACCAAGCGGGTGCCCCGGACCTCTCCGACTATGAACAGCGCCGTTTGGCCAACATTCAGCAAAATGCCCAGCTTATGGCCATGCTGGACATTGCCCCTGCCGCTCGTGAGGTATCCTCCTTTCGCACAAATTGCATCGCCTTTTTGGCTTGACAGATAAACGTTGAATGAGGCAGCGCCTTACCATCCCTTTTATGTGCGCGCCTCACAGGTACGGGCCCTGGCTGGAGAAAGCACTGAGACTCCCAAATCAACCCGTGGCCTGACCACACGCCGCAAAAAGGCCACGGCCGCTGCGGCACCAATACCCACCCGGCGCAGTGCGCGTCTTCGGGGCTTGGCGGCTGGTAACGCCGACACTGCACCCACCCGAACCCTGGCCGAGGTGCGTTTTTTTAGAAAAAAAAGTTTCATCTACTCTGCTGCCGCAAGCAAGGGGGGGGCGGGGGGGAAGGCTGGACCTGCAACCCTACTGCTCTGCTGCTCTGCTGCTGCATCGATTGAAGCAATAACGTGCCCTCATCGCGCGTTTGCCCCAATCTACCGCAAATTGCCGTCTTTGCAGGAGCAAGCAGACGCGTTGCGCCACCTGGAGCCACCCTCGGGTGATCTCAGCGCTCTGGCAGGACCACTGGACGAGGAGGCCATTGTGGAGCGCGTTGCCAAAGCGCATGCCGCCACCATCCAAGCCGTTCAATCGGCACAGCAAGATCCTGACCACGCATCACCTTCCACCAGTCCGCAGCCAGAGAGCACTCAGTCGGACCATGCCCCATCGGACAGCGCTGGTGTAGAAGAGGCCAACTCAGATGAGGTGCAGCTGCGCCGCGAGATGCTTCGACTACTGCGCACCTCATCAGTTCTGGATGGGGCCAAGGAAGCCTGCACCTCCCAAGGCACGTCGTCTGCAGCAAGTCGCGCAATTACAGTCGAGTCTCTTTTCCCCTTGTGTCACCGCGTCTCCCTAACCCATCTACTCTGGTCAAACCTCGTGCCGGCTCTTAGATGATGTGGCCGCTCACTTCAAGAGGTTGCAGCTGCGGGGTGAACGCAGCGTTGCGAAGGTCGTGCCAGAGCGCATCTTCAGCATGGCGGTTCACCCCAGCACGGAGCACACGCTCGTCTTTGCAGGCGACAAACGTGGGTTCGTGGGTCTCTACAATCTGGACGAGCCAGATGACGACCGCTGCGTCGTGTCATGGCGACCCCACACACGGCCCGTATCATGCTTGGCTATTGATCCCAGCAATGCCCACCAGGTTTGTTTTCTGCCCGCCATTGTGCCACTCGTGCGGAAGCTCACGCTGCAATTCCATTTTACACCTTCGGGCCTGTTTGCGGGACCGTGGCTGGCGCGCCTACATGTGACCAGATGCTGACTTCCTCCTACGAGGGCGTGGCACGGATATTCGACGTGTCAGCCGAATCCTTTCTTGAGGCCGCCGTCTTTGAAGAGACCATGCTGGCGTACAGCGACATGAATTGGGCCAACAAGCGTTTGCTCGGCTGCCATGGCGATGGTCGCGTGAGCGCCACAGATGTGCGAGCAGCAGCCCGGGCCCACACCTTTTGGCCGCTTCATGAGCGCAAGGTCTCCCACGTTGCCTTCCACCCCGAGGTAAACCTTCTGTTCCTGTGTTGAGGGCAAGCCTGCGTGGAAGTGCGGGCACGCTCTCTTTCAGTCTCCATCAGTTAGTTTTCCGCCTCAATCGCGCTTCCTAACTCTGGAGTGGGGGGTCTCGTGGCTGGTGGGGCGTGCCGATGCAGGAGAGTCATATGATGGTGACGACCTCTCTGGACCACCTCGTCTGCATCTGGGACACGCGCGCGTTGGGTAAAGCGTCAAAGGCCCCCAAGCCCCTCTGGAAGGCTACGCATACTCGTGCAGTCAGCAAGTACGAAGCTGGCGAGTCGCCTAGACCTGAATCCCTCCAAAGACCAGACTTGGCTCATCGGTAAGTTCCAACTCATGCGCATTGTTGGTCCTCCCTAGTGCGGTCTTTAGCCCGGATGGCCAGCACCTCGTCTCGCTGGGGCATGACGACCGCATTAAAATCTTTGACGCGTCAGCTGCGCTGCGCGGTGAGGCGAATCAAAGCCCCAGGTTTGTGCCGGCAGTCACTCCCATCGGCGCTCGCCTTTCAAACCCTATCTCTCTCTCTCTCTTGAGCTTTTGCCAACTCGACTGGGTGGATGGAACTTGCTGGTAGGCATAACGTACGCCATAACAATCAGACGGGTCGCTGGCTGACCAATTTCAAAGCTTACTTTGATCCGAAATGCAGTGCCGGCGTCATTTCGGGCGCCATGTTGCGGCCTCGAGCCGTGCACGTCATTGATGTTCACAGCAGCAACCTGTACGTCCATCACCCACCAACCACCCTTATCGCTGCTTGCATCTTGATTTGCAAACTGCTGACAGGGCACCGATGCTTTCCGTACCTAGCTTGTCTCTCACCAACGAAGACCACATGACCTCGGTGACGTCACTGCATGCTTGCCATCCGACACGTCACATCTTGGCCGGTGGCAATAGCTCGGGACGAGTGATGGTTTGGCGCGCCGCCGAGGACGGCTGAGGTCATGAATAATTGCAAAGGAAAACTGGTTAAAAAAACACGACGAGTCGAAGTTCGAGTTTAAATTCAGAACTGGCTGAATCGGATAGTGGACGAATTTAAAAAGGGGCGGATAAAAACGGTGAAGAGGCACGCCATGAAGGCAGACGGTTTTACAAAAACCAAGGGCAAGAGATGAAATCTCCGACCCAAACGACTGCTCTTACATGAGGATCAAAACACGTCAAAAAAACGTCTCCTCAGGAGAACGGTGATGTGATATGCAAAAGCAAAAGGGAAAATAGAACGAAAACACACATCGGGGAAACATGACCAGCATGAACCAGCCCGCAGGACAATAATCCAAACGGGACTATGGAAAATTAACGACGAGCAAATGCAAAGCTATGTAAATGACTCGCCACAGCCGCATGTCGCCGTGGCTTGGGGATTCTCAAACACAAAGCCCTCGGCAATGTCTGATTCGTCATAGTCCATGGTAGAGTGCAAGACTTGCATGATGGCACGGCTAGCCACGACAACCTTGATGCCATCAACCTCCACAACCTCATCGCCGGGCTTGATTTGCTCGGCATAATCGAGGTGGAAGGCGTTGCCGGAGCAGCCACGCTTGCGAATATCCACCAACAAACCGACCTGTTACATGCCAAGGCACACCCAACTACTTTGAGATTGCGAGACTGCAGAAGACAGGAGGCGACCCCAAAAGGCAAGTTCCAATCCTCATTTGAGGGGAAACAAAAACTGTAAACGCACCGCATTGCTACCATGTTGGGCTAGCAGATCCTTGGCGTGCTTGGCAGCAGCCGGCGTGACTGTCAAAACTGCCTTGGGTACGCGTCGAGTCCGTGGCACACGAGTAGTTGCACGCAGACTGCTGACTGACATGGCACGTCGTGCCTGCAGCCACATGGCGTCTAACAAAGGCATCCAGAGCAATTTGCGAAACAAAACAAACGTGAGTGTACAACACAGCAGCAGACACACACACGATATGCAAATGCAGAGGTGCTATGATGTGAAAAGGTGATGTCGCTTCTCATACTATGTGGGGAAAGATGGAGAAGCTCGCCGAAGCTCGCCCGGTGTACCAAGACACCCCTTCCGCACGACTCTCGAAAAGCTGCCCAGAAAAAGACGAGCTGCCCCAAACGTCAATCGAGCCACTTAAAACAAGCAGTCCGCAACGCCGCGACAACTCTTGGGTTAATATCACACAGATGTAACAAGCCGTGGCGATGGAAAGCGCCACGACTCTGACTACTGTGTCAAACAAACAGAACAACGGCCAAACAACAACAAAAGCCCCCATGCCAAGTACTCGAGAAGAGCGCGACAAAAAGTTGGATGTGCAACGCTTGTATAAGGATGTGACCAAACACCGGATGAAGAGCGAGAACTCACCAGTTGTGGCGCGCACTGCCATGTTGGTTGTTCACACACGAAGAAGAAGAAACGAAGCTGAGGTAGTGGCTAGGCAATCTCTTGTAAAGTCGAAAATGGATGCCTTGGCGCCAAGCGCCCTGGCAACAGCAACGACTGCAGACCAAGGCTGGCTGTTTGCCAATCAAGGCAGCACACCACGGCTGACCAAGCAGCAAGCCGTGGCAGTGGTGTCACAACCACACAATCCTGCTCGACGTTTCCAGTAACACTCAAGGTTGGAGCGAAAAATGCCAGCGTCAACCAAAAGAGCAGTGCAACAAAAGGGTTACTGGTGTATTGGAGCAACAGTTGGAAATGTTGAGACTGCTTAAGCGAAACAACGGTGCAACGTGGGATAAGTACATTTGGTAACTGGTACATGCGGGATCACATCAGCATGATTGTTCGTCGTGGGCTGAAACCTGTTTTCGAGAGGTGTGTGAGAGACAAAAAAGGGAATGAATGAAAAAAAAAAAAAATAAATAAAAAGGGTCAAGCGGCCTGATTTGGGTTCCGTGCCGCAGAGCAGGTTCAACAGATGTAGATGAATGCCGTTATAAATGACACGAGAGATCCAAGTGTGGGGAAAGTAACGTGGTGAGGAGATGGAAACGAATTTTGGATCGAAAAAGGATGGAAAAAAAAAAGGTATCAAAGATGAGCCATCAATTAAGAGAGCCACAGCCTGCTTCTCCCAACAACAATGGGCTTATCGGCCAGTGCTGCGGTTGAGCTTCTTGGGCACGTTCTTGACGGCCTTGAAGGAAGCCACGGCCTGAGCGTTAGCCTTGGGCTTCTTGGTGGCAACCTTCTTCTGAGTCTGCTTCTTCTCCTTAGCGGCACGAGCAGCCTGCTGGCGAGCGGCAGCGCGGACCTCGGGCTTCTGCTGGCGCAGCTCACGCAGCTTCTCCTCCGAGACGCCCTATTACCAGACCACAGCGTCAAGCAAGATCCAATCACAAAATCAGGACCAGAGGTACACCAATGGAAACAAAAATGACCAGTAGGGGCCACATCCAAACGAATAGAACGAGTTGTGGCATGAGTTAGAGAAACAAGCTTGACAAAACATGTTACCTCGATAGCGCGCTGGAACTTCTGAGTGCGGCGAGTACGGCGCTTGGTGGTCTCCTCCGAAAGACCCTTGCGGTGCTTGCGGCGGTACAGAACAGTCCACGCGATCTTGCGGGGGTTCTTGCGCTGCAGGAAGAGCGACTCGACCTTGCTACCCAAGAAGTAGAAGGTCTTGCCTGAAGCAGAGTAAAAAAAAAAGCAACACAGCGAGAAGTCGTGAGAGATGCGTCGTCAACAACGTATGAGCACTGCCCGTTTGTCATCGGTGCCTTTTGAACAAGCAAACCACACATGCACACGATCACACGGCTGACCACAGCACCCATCATGACATGGACACACACACACATGCACACCAAAAAAAGCTCTCCCTCGAAAAAAAAATTCCTTCAACACAGCATGATGCACAAAGGCATGACGAGGGGAAAAGCTGCATCAGCACATCAAGCACGGTTCACGAGGGACACGGCTCTGTGCTCGGCTCTCCAGCCCTTCGCGTGATCATGTGCATTGAACGAGTCACATCATGAACGCCGGACCAGTGATGTGTCTGTGGTCCGGCTACCCATGCTCGCATACAAACTGGACGAACAACTTGTGCTCGGAGTTACACCCAAGTTGTATGTGACCTCGGGACACACAAAAAACAGCCAACGTGCCAGCTGATATACCCAGCAAGCGCTTCCCACAAGGCGCGCAAAAAAAAAAAAGACAACTGAAACACAGGTCAAGAACGAGAGACATGGCAAGGCTTACCGTCGACTCGGACGAGTCGGCGGCCGTGACCCGCGTGGATCTTGTAGCTGCTAAAGCTGCACAGCTCCAACCTGCAACGAGACGAGACGCACGCCAAGAGCACAGGAGACACGCCATCAGCATTGATATGTTTTGTCGAGCACAGCAGTCAAGGTGGATGCACAGCTGCACGTAGTACGACGGCACGCCGTGCGATGCATGGACAGCTGGCTCTGGTATCGGCGAGCAGGCCGAGCCCAAAGACTTGACACAAAGGACTGGACACGAGGCTGGCAGCGGCAGAAAACGCTAAACGGATCACTGAAGCGCAGTAAAGGCGTTCTGTTGGAAACAATTTGTACAGATAATTCCCTCTCGGTTCTTTTGCCGCTGCCGCTGCCGCCGCCAGCCGAGAACAACCCTGCCCAGACTCTCTCCTCGGGCCAATCGCCAGCGGTCGCGCGCAGGCTCACTTCATCTTCGCGGCTGTGTCAAGAAAAGGCCAAGATGAGGTTCAAATCTCGAACACAGCTCGCTTTATCCCCAGCGAGACCCGTTGACTAAATGTCATGAATGATGAGCTTCACTTTTTTTACCCAATGTCAGATAAATTCGCAGGGTGGAAAAGTTTTCTATGACTGGTCTCGCGTGCTGGAAAAGGGCTTTTCGTCTTCTTCGTCGTCGCATAGGTCGCGGCTCGAGCAAATGGGCATTAGGCTTCCACGCCATTCCCGTAGCGCGCGACACTTGCGCGCAATTGGTCCACCACCAACTTAGGATTGTCGGCTTTGAAGACAGCGCTGCCTGCCACAATCATGTTGGCACCGGCCTGGGAATCGCAAGGGCACGAGACAGCAAATCGGCACAAGTGAGACAGTCCAACTTGCGGCCGGTCAAGGACAGCCGCGCTGCATGCCTATCGCGCACCTGTGCAGCCTGGTCAATCGTCTCTGGGCTGAGGCCGCCATCCACGGCAATGTCCATTCCAGGGCAGCGTGCCCGCAAGGCAGACACCTGTTGATCACAACTCGCCTGCCTTGAGATGCAAGCACTTGCACGACCGTATAGTAGGCACAGAACGAGGCTGGCAACCACTCGGATGCGGGGCAAGGGGACGGCCTGCATACCTTGGGCATCATATCGGCCATAAACGATTGGCCGCCGAAGCCCGGTTCGACGGTCATGATGAGGACGGCATCCAGCTGCTCCACGTACGGGAAAACGACGTCCACCGGTGTCTTGGGCTTGATGACCACCCCCACCTGCCGGCAGTCCAGCCAAAAAGGGATGAGCAGACTTTGGTAGCAAATTAAGCAGCAGCTTCCTGGAGCACATAAAAAGCTCGCAGCGCGCATTCAACGTACTTTCATGCCACTTTCCTTGACCTCCTGAATCAGCGATGGAACGTCATCTACCCACACGTGCCGTCAGCCAGCCTGACGGGACCTGTGCATAGCGAAGAAATGTGCGCCGCGTGGACCCACCATCCACCTCCACGTGGAACATAAACTGGTCAGCTCCGGCTGCAGCCATGTCCTTGATCCACTGGTAGAAGAGACGTCGCCATCACCCATGACGTGAGTTGCGTCGGCACGGGTCGGTCGGCGCGGTAAGGCACGGTTCATCGAAGGACCGAAAACGTACCTTGCGCGGCTCGGAGACCATCAGATGGCAGTCTACCAACCAAAGCACATCCCAACTTACGCGTGAGCAGCCACTGCATGGGCCACACCGCCAACCTCACACCAGACGTCTTTGCCCTCCTGCTCCGGCTGCTGCTGCTGGAAACAGGACGCGTACCGAGAAAGGCATCGGTATACTTGCGCAAGCACTTGACCACGGGTGGTCCGAAAGTCAGGTTGGGGACAAAGTGGCCATCCATAATGTCCACGTGAACGTAATCTAGATGCGTTCCCACCCCAAGAACATGCGGTGGCCAGCAATGAGCTTGCTGGCCAGCTCGGCGCGTGCCACCTGCAACAGTGCTCGTCCCTTGGTCCGCACAACCACGTTAACGACCCACGCACCTGCACCCCACTCTTTCACAGCGCGCACTGTATCAGCACCCAGGTTGGCCAGGTCTGCCGATAGGATGGATGGGCCAATCTTTGGCTTGCAGTCGTGCACCATGATGCCGGTCCTCGCTGTGTCTTTGAAGTGTGTATCGTACGCTTGGAAATGAAGCCTCACAACACAGGAAAAAAAAAAGGGCTCCTGTGTCTTTTGCGTGTGTGGTGCTTAAAAAGGATGACAATCTGCCTTTCTTCTGCTTCTAATGTTTTCGCCCCCGAGATCGCAACACGAGACGAGCGGATGCGAGTATCAAATGTCACGGGGCATTCATCAAGATTGGCTTTGGAACACGGGTCAAATCGCGCAGCAATTCACATGACTTTGAGTCGCAGATAATCACATCGGAATGAAAAGCAAAGGGCCATGAGCGCAAGGCCGACTGGCGCGTCTAAGCTTGGTTCGGCGGCTTGATGCTGCGACGAAGGGCCGCAACCAGATCTTGCAACAATTGACCAGCCCGCTCACCAATCTCCGTTGGCTCTTGTGCATCGTCGCGCATGGCCTTCCGCAGGGTCTTGAGCGTGTCACGCAATGCCGTCACGTCAGAGACGTCCATCTGTGGTGCAAAGCGATCCAGTACCGCTGATGCCTCTGCCAAATCACCCTCCACAGACGACAGGAGCTAGTGACGAGTAAAACGCCACAGTCCCGACATGCCAGCAATTCAGATCAAGCATCGCACAAAGGGCGGTGAGCTTCGGCCAATCAAACGAGACTCGGGGCTCCGAGAGAGGTGGACTGTCGTTTTCCAAGCCAGATGTCCACACGTACCGCCGCCCGTTTGGCTCGTCGAGCGTCGTCCCCCTTGGTCGCTCGGCCTCCCCAAGCAGCTGCAAGATATCAGCGGCATCCAAGCCTCCGTTGGAGCGAACCTCGATCGCTTGCTCTCGCCCCGAGCCTTGAGGGCCAGACCACAAACGGTAGGAGATGGGGGATGAGGTACTGTGGCTGGGATAGCATCCTGCTCAAAGGCTAACGTCACCGAATAGCATAAAACTAAGCTCACCTTCTTCGCGGGCACGCACTTGCAAAATGCCATCCGCATCCACCGTGAAGCGCACTTGAATTCGAGGCTTCCCTCGGGGTTGCTTGGGAATATTCACCAGAGCGAAGGTTCCCAAGAGCTGGTTGTCGTCCACCAATGGTCGTTCGCCTTGAACAACATTAATCTCCACATCGGTTTGGTTGTCAACTCCTAAAGATTGGCGACCAAGGCTATTCAAGTGAGACGGCAATGCTTAAAAGATTGACCACGTTGGCAGATGTTCGCACCTGTCGAAAAGACACGCTCCTTTGTGACAGGCACTGTGCTGTTGCGTGGGATCAGAACGTCCACCACGCCCCCGAGCGTTTCAATGCCTGTTTCATGACATGGGCCCGTTGGCAACCAAAGCACCGAGTTCAGACGTGAGTGGGACGCGACGAGCTGGCCTATGAATGATGAGACTTTCATCAAAACACATATCGCCCATCAAGGTGTCACTTGCCGAGAGAAAGGGGTGTCACATCCAGCAGCAAGACGTCCTCGACCTGTCCCAACAAAACACCAGCCTGAATTGCCGCGCCCCTGCAACATCCGATGGACATGCATGATGAGCACGCAAAGTCGCACGGTCAAACACACGCAGGGTCAAACACGCATGGCCGCACAGCACGCGGCGCGGCGCACTTTGCAACGGCCTCAAGCGGATTCTCGCTGACGTCGGGTTCGTGCTCAAACAGCTCTCCAGCCAACGTACGCACGGCCAAGGTGCGCGTCATGCCCCCAACCAGCAGCACCTATTCCCGTTCAAAGTTTGCCATCAGAAGCAGCCTGCTCAATTCCAGCCATTCAAACCCAAGTCAAACCTTATCAAGGTCAGTAGCGGTGAGCCCAGCGTCCTTCAAGCATTGGCGGCAGGGTGCCTCGGTTCGGGCCAGGACAGGGGCTATCATCTCCTCAAATTCGGCCCGAGACAGGCGCGTTTCAAAGCGCCCGGCTTCGCCCGCAAAAGGCAGCACCACCGTTGTCTCTGTCTATAAACACACGCACACACACACACACACACACACACACACACCTGTGAGGCAAAAGAAAGATCAAATCCGGGGCTGGCGCTCGGGCTGAGATGTGTGTCAGCATTTCACCGCCATCCCTGGTTAGCAGCGGCAGAAACATACAGCTTGATCGAGTTCGATCTTGGCCTTTTCAGCTGCCAAACGCAGGCGTTGGCGAAGCGCGTCGTCAGGCTCGGTTCCGTGTTGACGCTTGAAACGCTCCACCAGCTGCTCAGCCACGGCCGAGTCCACGTCCTCGCCTCCCAAAAAGGTGTCGCCGTTTGTGGCCAGCACCTGCTCCAACCAGCACGGGAAGATTCGTGAGGGCTCCAAAGACGAGTGGCCACAGCGCATGATGCGTGCACATTTGCACAACAAGGTGCTCAAAAGGGTGGCTCTAAGGTGCAGGCACCATAAGAGAAGAGCTGCTGGTAAACGAGGATTCTGATGGGTCCTCACCTCAAAGGTGCCATCCGAGTGCAACTGTAAAATGCTAATGTCGAATGTGCCACCCCCCAAGTCGTATACGGCGAGCTTGGAGCCCCGCTCACGATCAGCAGCCTTGAGACCAATGCCATGGGCCAAAGCGGCTGCCGTAGGCTCGTTGACGCAGCGCATCACATTCAGTCCTGTCCATTGGCACCCCGGAACCAGACCACCAGGAGGCACAAAACGGACATGGGCCAAAAAGATCAAGAGGTCAGCAGGTGCAGCTCAACGTATCAATGGACAGCCTAGCGTAGGCGCCGAGACCCGATGGGCTGAAGGTGCGACTGAACAGGAACGTACCAGCCAAAAGACCAGCATTGCGGGTGGCTTGGCGTTGGTTGTCATTAAAGTAGGCGGGCACGGTCACCACCACATCGCGAACTTCCTTGGCCAGCGCCTGCTCGGCTATACGACGCATGTGCCCCAAGATGCTGCCGGCAATCTCGCTGGGAGACACCGTTCGGTCCGTGACGGGGCTATAGACCCATGCTTCGCCGTTGTCGGACTCGACCACGTCATACGTCACGTCTCGCTGGGCATCAGCAACCTAAAGAAGACACAAATGAGTGGCCAAACACCGGGAAAGGCGCGCGCGGTGCACCGCGTCGGTGATACTTACCACTTCATCAGTGTAAAGACGCCCAATAAGGCGCTTGGTCGTCGCAAACGTAGCTTTGGGGTTGAGTTCTGCCTGCCGCTCTGCTGCGTGCCCCACCAAATCATCCTGGCCCACCACCACCGATCATGAGTACACGTATGGTGCTACCGCTGCTGCTGCTGCTGCTACTGCTGCTGCTGCTGCTGCAGAGGGCCTGCCCGTTGCAATCTATAGCCCCCACTTTCGTGGCAAGCGGCCGACAACTCCTGCTGACAATGAGTCCATCCACGTACCTGGCCGGGGCGGTGTGAGACTACAGAGGGTATGACGGTCCGGCCTTCCTCGTCTGCCAGCACGCGAGCCTGCTGGCCATCGTAATAGGCCACGCAGGACTGTGTTGTTCCAAGGTCAATACCGACGGCTGGAAGATTTGACCGGCCACGCCATTGCCGCGAGTGACTCAGCCAGCGCGCGCGAAGGCAACCCAATCCCGACGTCGCTACCACTGGTCGCAGCAGCACCCGCGCCTGCGTCGTGGCCGCCACTGCCGCCATGTCACAGCGCTCCGCTTCTTCTTCTTCTTCTACTCCTGCTGCTGTTGCTGTTGCTGCTGCGTGTTGTTTCGCAGTCTTGAAATTGCTGACAAAAATGTGTTAAACGTGTTTTCAAATGGCTCCATTCGGATGTAATGAGTTTTGAGCCAGCTGAACTTTGATATTATAGACGTGAAAAAGCTGTGTGTGAGTGTTGTGAATGCACTGACCGGATAATCAATTACATGTACACACGACTTCAGACCTATGTCATGAGCACTTACATCGACCTAAACACTCTACTACTCGAGTAAAACTCTCACTTTTGACTCAAAGCGCACCCACACAGCAAACACTCGGATGTTCACTTGGAGCAACCAGACTTGGGTGCGGTCACGACATGATTGCAGGCGGGCTTCAAACTGACTGGACCTGGACGCGCGAACGGGTTTCCACCGCGGCATCGGCATCGGCATCCACAGACGACGTGGGTTGGGCCCGCGTCTCAAGCTCTTTCGCCGACTCGAGTTGCTTCAGAAAGTCCTCAGACTCGGGGTGGGCCGCCGGCCCAATCAGGGAGAGCACCACCGGCAGCACAACAACGCCATGGAAAAGGGCAAACAGGACAATTAGGGACAGAATCTTGAAAAAGATCTGGAGCAAGGCGCACATCGTGAGTTGATTCGAAATAGGGCAGCTAGTCTGGAGACACCAAGCCAACAAAAGAAGACGGGTGGTGACAAACCTGAAAAATGTACGATTGGGCAGCGCTAAGCAGGACAATGGCCAAAAAAGTCGACACGGCACCGTTGACTGCACTTCGGCCCAGTTTCTATCACACCAAGACAGTGAGTTGTCGCCGGCACCCTGCGTCTGATCTTGGCGCACCGTTTAAGGTTTGAGCAGTTCTCCCAACGTGTTCTTACTCGGAGCGCCTCGCGAGCTCGTTCATCCCGTGTGCCTTGAGCTCCCAGGAAAGCGTGGGCAATGTGCACGCTTGAGTCAATGGCCAGCCCAACCGCAATGATGAGATTGACAGCCGAGACCGAGTTAAAGTCGACGTCGACGTAGTACTAAGCGCCGCCATGACCATTGTGCAAATTGACACCAGAAAAAAAAAAGCGGGGGGTAAGTCAAAGCTGCGAGGATGGCACCACCTGCAACCAACCAATCTCAGTTCTCCATTCTCCTTTTTCTTTTTCCATCCACCACAGAAAGCGCACCATGAATCCCAAGACGTTCACGTCGACCATGGCCAACATAATAAGGACACACAGTGAGGCCATTACGTTGGCCAGTAGCAGGAGCGTGACCACGGCAACAGCAACACCAGCGATCAAAATGTTACGGAGTGTCTCCTCTTGAATGACGGCCAGACCATCGTAGAACAGAAATTGGAAGGAGTAGGCAAAAGGCAGTTCGGCGTCACCCCGGTTGGTTGCGTAGACATTGCCGCCCAACTGTGGATAGCTCACGGCAATATCACGCACGTTGTTCATTCCCGCCACCTATATTCAATCGGCACGCCATTCAAGAGTGGTGAGCGACATGGTATTCGACTGGCGCACTGGATCTAGACCGGCTGGGCAAACCACTCGTACCTGATTATCGCCCTTGAAAAGATTGTTAAAGTAACAACGCAGACTCGAGATTACGATGCGATTGGGTGCGCTAGTCTCACGCTTGATCTACCAAGTCAACAAAACGAAGCAGGCGTCAGGACCAAACCGTGAACCAGGACTTGTCACAAGACAGCGCCCACGCTGCGAATGAGGGGGAAGAGGGCACTGCTACACCCACCACAGACACGAAGCGCGAGCCATCCGTAGCCAAAAAGTCTTCCAAGGCTGGATAAAAGGCTGTTTCTGCCAAGTACTCAACGCCATCAACAGTCACGCGATCAGCCGGGGCAACGTTGGCGTCGTCTTCAAAAAAGGCTCGAAAGGAAAGCCACCTGCAAGTACGGTGGATTGTCGCACATGAGAATCAGAGTGACATCAACGTTGGGCCCAGCCTTGAGATGTTGGGCGTCGTGCATGCATTGAACAGACCAGGCGCTATCGCAATCGCGAATTTGGTCCAGTGCCAAAGTGTCCGACAGCAAGGCATCCATGGACGCCTGAACCTCAACTGTCGTGTAGTCGACGAGGACTTGTCCGTCCTGTATGCCACCTGTAAAGCAGCAAAGCATCGAGTCGAAGATTCAAAGGAATCAAAAAGTCAGCCTCTAAAGCATGCATACTCATGCATGTGCCTGCAAAACAAAAATGGAGGAGACCTACCCGTGTAAAATGCAGTCAGGACTGGAGATCCGTTGAAGAAGTCATTTTGAATGCTCAGGGCATCTTTGACAGCGGCCGAGTCGGGCACAAACCACTCGACATTAAAGCGCGACTTTGTCTAAGTACTCGAGGAATCGGCCCGCAACGTGAGAACCCGAGCTCTCCTCCTTGTTCAACAATAATAACCAGCCTGACACCGACGAAAAACAAAGACGAAGGCAAGAGCGGATGAGCGGCCCACCTGTGTAGCTGCCCAAGCAGATGAAGCAAGCAAGCCCACGGCAAGAGCCATGACGCATGCTTTGCCAATCGGATGCAAGATAACATTGGGCAAGTATTCGCCCATGATGCGATCCAGAAGGCAGAGTTGCTGAGGATCAAAGTCCTGCCATTGGCCGTTATTTGTTTTTTTTTGGGCAAACAAAGGATTGAGTACAACGAAGCAGGGTACTAGCGCCCACACACATACATACGCATACACACACCTTTTTCTTCAAACAGTGACGTTCGGGGTGAGAGGGCTTCCAAAAGCTAAGAAAGTCGGCGCGGCCGTTTTGTTCTCGCTTGGTGTTCCAGTACAAAAAGGCCACAAAAACGGTGCACTGCATGCGAAGGCACCATCCGCCCGTTGTGAGCACGTGCTGGTTGCAGGCTCACAGCAACTAGCACACGCAATGGTGATGGCTTGAAAGGAAACAAGCCATGAACATCGCAGTTGCCTACCTGCGTGATAAAGTCAAAGAGCACGCCAAATGCCGCATACACGCAAAAGTACTCAATGGCAGGCAATGCCGTCATCGTGCCGGAGGCAAAGGCGATGATATCGGTCAACGACGTGATGGTGATGCTCACGCCTGCGCGAGCTAAAGCCCGGGCCACGTGCTCGCTTGCATCCAAGGAGGGTGGCATGTCACGATGAGCACCCATGATGACAAACGTATCGTCGGCCTGTGGATGTGAGAAGATCAAGGTCCCGAGGGGGGGGTGAGGGGTGAGCCATTCGGCTTTAGCGGCGGGCGGTCAAATGACCAAATGCCAAAACATGACTTACGCCAAGACCTAGCACTAGAAAGAAGGCAGCTTGCACCGTCAGCGTATACTGAATACCCACAAGTACACCAAAGCCATACTACAAGCCGGTGCAGTCACAGTTAGGCACATTAGGCGAGCTCGGGGAAGCAAGAGTGAACCCATCGAAGAGATGTACAAACGCCGTACCATGCCCATAATGGACAACCCGACGGCCGCAAGGGATATAATGGCCATTGAGGCGTAGCTGCGAACCCAATTGGGACGCCATAGTACGTAGGCCGAATCTAACAAACCGAGACACAAACTTGAATGAGGTGTCCTCTTCAAAAGAGAGATGAGCTGGCACCACGAGCACAAGCGTACAAGCTAGCAGCAAGATGTATCCCGGCTGTGCGAGTACACGCAGAAGAAACATGATGGGCGTCGGTGAGCAAAGATCCAAGGGCAATAACATTACAAAGGAGTGACTGGCGTCGAGGCAGCGGGAAAACTTACCGCAAGCAAGCCCACATCCTCGTCAATGGCATTGTCAGAAGCAGTACTGACATCACCACTGAATAATGGCGTGCTTCTAAACTCGCCCTCATCTATACCCCGCACCTTTGAGAGAAAAACAATCTGTGAGTTGTGTGGTGGGTAGGTTTGCTTTGGCTTGCAAAAGTTGCTTTCCTCGCTGATCGCTCGCTTTCATTCTATTGTTCCGGGAAAAAAAAAAGGCTGGAGTGGAGACTGTGGCGGACGTACGTTTTTGGCAGCAGCGACATCCCAGTCCTTTCGCTCGTCATCTTCTTCTAGATCACCATCAACGCGCTTTTCGCGATTGATCAGCCCAAACTCCATGACCAGGATAGGGGAGCTGGTGAGGGTGGGTGTTTCTGAATATGCCAGGTCAAAGAGAGTGAGCGTTTTGCCAATGGTGCTGGTAATGGCGTTGTTGTCCAGGGCAATCTGCAGCGTGCTCATGACGGCCGTGTCGGCCTCAATGGCGGTGCGCAAGCCGTCGAGGTCTTCGGGTGAGCCGTAAACATTGAGAAAGGAGGAAAAGTCGCAAGGACTCTTCGTTGTGTTGTCATCGGCCACAAAGATGCGCACGCAATTCTCAGCCAGTGTGTAGTCGTTTTTGACAGTGCTGTAGAGCGTTGCGACCACCTGGAGCCCACATATGTGAGTGCGGCAAACATAGTGGGTCAGACAAAATGTCGCAAAGCAAGGCAAGGCGAGGCCATGTCGTCGGACAAGGCATGGGCATGGCCAAGCAAGACAAGGCAAGCGTGCATGTGATGGACACGCACATTGCTCAAAGCGATGAGCGCGGCCTGATTCACGGCATTGGTATACTGATCGCTAAGGACGGCGGCACCGTCACGTCGTTGAAAAAAGAGACGGTTGGTCGCGTTGGGAAAGCCGAAAAACTCTTCAACGACGATGCGTTGTCGAAAGGCCTCGGAATCCTGAGGCGTGTACTGTGTCGGGTCGAGATGGTAAATGGCATGGGTACAAATCGCAAGAGTGAGGCACATGATGATGATGATGATGATGATGATGATGATGATGATGATGACGACGACGTTCATTGATGCAACGAGTAGGACTCGTCAAGGTTGAAGGATCGTCGCAGTTCAATGTTGACTGAGCACGCCAGAGACCTACCAGATCCTCGGGGTCCGTTTCAACATCCACACTGGCAGCCATGATGCGAATAAAAAACCCAAACTACGCATTGGCCAGAGGGAGGGAGTGGAACGCGTGAGAGGCTATATGAGCTACGAAGCGAGACCATGGCAAGAAGGTGTCACGGCGCAGGGCCTAGGGCTTCGTGATCAAGGGCACAAGCGAACCATAAATAGGAAGGGAATGACGACAAAGAGCCATGGGTGTCGGGCAATGACATGGCCCAGCTTGTAGAAGAACTTGGAGAGGGTAAAGTCAATCCAGTTGCTCAAGCGAGCAAGAGCATTGTGTCGGCTCACTTCCGTGGCCATGGTGGATGGTCAGGTGTCGACGCTGCTGAAATCATGCCGTGCGGAGCCCTTGCATCAGGCATTCTGCACGGAAGCGCACGTGCACTTGTTCCAAGACCAGCCGAGCATACATGAGCGTCTCAACCCAAAAAACTGACCGGCCTCGAAAAGTGTCTTGAGAAGAGCTACAGCTGGCAACTGGCTCGAGAGGCGTTTCAAACACAGCTACTGGTCACTGCAACAGCAGGGGGGGGGGGGGCCAAATCGACGCGCCAAGAGCAAGAAAATGAGCACTTCAACATGCGCACACCCACCAGACGCACATGCACCCATTGCCACCACCACTGCTCAGCCAAAGCAACGAGCCTGAAACACGTACCGAAGAGACATGTACCCCCTTCTCCTGGCGCAAAGTGCGACTCGGATCCAACACACACACACACACACACACACACACACACACACACACACACACACACACACACATATATATACGCCGTGCTCGGAGGACGAGGAAGCTCCATGAGCACACACACGCACACACGCACTCTCTCACAGCTGCGACGCAACTGCCGTCACAAGCAACACGCTGTGGTGTAAAAGTTCTGACATTTTTGTCGTGTTCATTCTCCTTCCTCTTTCGCTTCTCTCGAGTTTAAGGGAAGATTCATGGCGCTGCTTCACGAGCTTGCTTGGACGACCGCTGTGGCTGGGTTCATGGCGAGATGGGCTGGAGCTTTGGAAATCGGTAGAGCGTGCAGGGAGCGGTACAAGCTGCACTGCAAGCTCTTTCCATTCCCAGCAAGTCCCACTGACCTCGGCTCCGTGTCTTGGAGGCCAACTGAAACTTTGCCTTACCAGCACAAGAGATCGTTGGAGTAGAGAATTTCCCAGCTAAATCCCCTTGAAATCATGCATCATGGTGTGGTGGGCCTCTCCTTCATGAACTCCTCAGTCCGCAGGACCAAAAAGGACTCGTTTACGTGTGTGTTTGTCAGCAAAATCAGATTGTAGGAGTAAAGCGTAATAACAATGCAGGCCAATGTCAGAAAAACGGTACTATGGATTTCAAGTCGAAAAGTCGAGTTCTTCCTCGCTGTCGCTATCATCAAAGAGCGTGCGCTCCTGCTGTGTCAGCTTGCTGAATGTCTCCTGTGCTCGACGGACAGGACAGTGCGTTGGTAAACAAATTTCATAGCAGGCGTGGCAGTGCGTCCTTCCAGTCCCGGCCCGTACCTGTTCAAACTGCTGATCGTTCAACAGATCATAAAGCTGGCGCTTGGCCCGCAAATGCCGCGCGCCCTTGTAAATACCAAACATTAGCGCCACGCCCTGCCACCCGCCAAAAGCCAGGAGTCATTCCACCTGTGAGTCCTGGCCTGCCTTGATCGTGCGCACGCAAAGGGAATGCAAAAAGTGGTACTCACAACGACCGCCACAAAAGCGTAGAGCCAGACAGCTGGCGCGCCCGACTTCCCGTCATTGCCATACACACTGTCCCAGTCTGCTCCGCGCGCCAGCTGCATCGACGCCTGTATCACGCTGTCTGGCTGGATGCTAGTCCCCGCGACGGTTTGATTAGCGCGCACGTAACCATCACACATGTAGTACACACGAAAGTTGCCTGTTGGTACGAGACGCCAAAAGTATCCATTTTCATCCGTGTGTACTGAATACCCCCCACACATGTTCGAATACGCGGCCGTGAGATGATCGCACGCACAAACAACATGATCTCGCTGCTGCTCTGGCTTGGTCACCTTTGCTGAGCATCCGCAACTGACGCCGCTGCTGATTCCCTCGTCACCAAGCATCGCCTATCTCTCACGTATGCACAGTCGCCGCCAACGTACCAACTCGCGAATTGCCGGACACTGCCACGCTGCAGTTAGCAATGGGTGTCTGGGTCTCGGCGTCCAGCACCTGACCCTTGATACCCGAGTTGACCTACATGCTCAACCAACGCACACATGAGCCTGTCTTTGTTGAAGCATAGACAGGACAGACTCGATGCCGTTCGCTTCAGGCCCAACACGCACCCGCATCATGGTAGCCCTGAGCGCAGCCACGTGATGGGCGGTGGCAGCTTGTGTGCTTGCAAGGTTGATGCGAGGCATGGGGCAGCATGATGCTTCGATAGTCAGAGGATGTGCATTTGTCGCATCAAAAAGCCAGTCCTAGGTCCCACACGAAGGTAAATTGTATCAGATAGCACGAAGAAAAAAACCCTGACAAAGCAGAAGTAGGTTGGCATACCTGCATCGAGTTGCTGACGCTGTACCATTCTGCGCCATTGCCCACGGTCACGCCACTCTTAATGCCATCCAAGAGGGAGCAGCTCCCCTGCCATCAAGCGTCAACAAAGAGGAAGAAGGTGGTGAGCGTTGGGGGCATGGCGCACCCCAAAATTGCATCTCCTTCTGTCCCCAGCCAACCGCACCAAAAGCTCAGGCACCAGGCCGGCATAATGCGAGGCAATGGCCTTGAGAACGGGCGCATCCGGGCAAGCGTTGGCAGCATCCGACCTATCCCCCAAATGGGCAAAGTCTTTGAGTACAGACTCCTGCCTGATGATGCCCATCAAATTTCATACAATTCTGCCTTGCTCCCTCCACTTCAACCCCCCCCCCCCCCAAAAAAAAAAAGGAAAGGAAAAGGGAAAAAAATCCGCCAAGCTTGAGCAACACGTACGCTTTCAGCTTGTAGTCGTAGGGATAGTAAATGAAGAGTTCAGCCGACTGGACATCAAGAGACAGAGCAAAGTTTTCTCGGGCGGCAAATGACATGAAGGCCTGGTGGACGTACCGCACGCCACATGAGAAAGGCGTGTCAAGACAACAACCGCCAGTCTTCCTTCCGCCCACCTCTGAGCAACAAGAAAGCTGAGTAAAAGATCGAGGCGGGAGCACACAATCCCACCTTCGTTTCTGGCTCGGGGTTCACTTGAGGTGCACCACTCCAAGCGCTTGGAAAGTTGCTGTTGAGGTTTACACCGTGCGCGTTGAGGTGACCAGGCATCTCATCCAAACTAATCAAGACCACAAGCCGTCAGAGATGAGACGGGTCGAGCAGTGGAAAATACACCATCGCACAATAATCAGAGGCAGCGCCCAGAAAAGAAGGAAGAAAGCAAAACAGCAACAACGGCTGACCTGAAGCAGTCTGGTGTCGTGCCCTCGGCTTTGTAGCGACTGTAGACGGCATCGCAACCATCTACAGCACAGAGGCGCAGGACGCCATCAGGAACAAGACCGGTTATACGCCAGCCAGAGCAGCCACAAGACTCTCTGCCAACAAAAAGCATGTCTCAGTCTGGCTTGGCCAGCCTACCTGGGCTGAGACAAGGTGTAAACCAAACCACCGTTTCTTCCAAAAACGTCTGGACCGCAGGTGTGCTGGTCGTAGCACACAGCGTATCGCGTAGAGAGCGCAGCACCAAGTAGGTACCATAGAGCTGCGAACCGTGAATGCCAGCAGATACATGCACGGTCGGCTTGCTGGATTGCTCAGTCCGGCTGCCGGCATAAACCTATCATGAAGTAGACCGAGCGCCAGATCACAGAGGGGCGCTGAGCATGCAATGGACAGCTCTTGGAACCGTGATACCGCATCAAGCCGCTTCAACGGGCATTGGGTCTGGAATACTGCGTACCTCAACACTCCAAATGTCTCGCCCCGAGACGCTCGTGCCTAGGTAAAGCCCGCGATTCATCCGACCGAACAGCCAAGAGAGGTGAGATTTTCACGCCAGCAATGCTTGACGGGATGCTTTGAGGTACCTCCGAGACCAGTCTGTGTCCGTACCGATCGACTCGAGAGAAGCGTGGCTGGAAAAGTGTTTTTCGACGTTTTTCAGGAAAAGGGTCATATCCTCGTATGACATGTAATCGGTCAGCTCGGGCAGGCTGCACGAATCAGGCTGACTTGTCGTCGTGGTTGTCGTCGTCGTCGTCGTGGTTGTTGTTGTCGTAGTGGTTGTTGTCGTGGTTGTTGTTGTCGTAGTGGTTGTTGTCGTCGTGGTGGTGGTGGTCGTCGTCGTCGTTGAAATGGCGGTGGCCGTCGGTGAGGCTGACGTACGAGAGGTTGTATCCCCGTCACTTGAAGACGTCGAGACAGTGGGGGCAGTGGAAATGAAAACTGTGGATGTGGTATCAAGCACAGTGGATGTCGCCATGGATGGTGTTGTGACCGGGGCTGCCATGGGCTTGACATCCATGTGTACTTCAACGGGCATTCCAGCCACCACCTGACACCATCCAATGTGAGAGCACCCACGACAGGGAAGCGGTGATTGATTGCGCAGAGATAACAAGGCCTGCTTTGACAGCGTCAGGCGCGCTTTCAACGGTAGAAGCCGACAAAGCTGGGACAAAACTCTTACGTGAATTGATTCGGATGTCTCCTGGTAAAGACTGTCATTCAGCTTGAACTCGGTCACCACCACACGATATTCGCCCTGACACCCACGCACCGTGCGAGATGAGAACACATGTTAAGACAAGCGCAGAGTAGCTGATGAGGGTCTCGGTTCGCACCGGGGTCAACCAGTGGCGCCAAACGCCATCTTTGTTCAGCTTGATATTCAGGGATCTACGGGCACGTAAAAGGAGACATGACTCAGAACGCGCTCGGCAGGCCCATCGGGTGTATAGGAGCACAACAGCCGTTGACGGCTTGGATAGACCAATATGGCGGTTCTTACACCACGTTGGCACTGCCAGCGGCCACGCGCGTAATGTATGCGTTGACCGAATTGGGTAGGGCTTGAGTTCCAGCCGTGATAGCCACTTGGGCTTCTTGGGCTGCGGCGCCGATCGTCTGCAGCAGAGCAGAGCGATGTGCAGCATACAGATCATCCAATTCACTGTCCTCTGGGTAGAGGCAGCAGCTGCAAAGAAGGAGCCGGGACGAAAGAGGGCGAAATGCATCAGGTGTGCATGCGTCAAGTGTCACTGCGCGCAGTACTGGCAAACAGTTCAGCTCGGAACGCACTGCGTGTAAATGTCTAGATACATGGCACCAGCCGCTTCGTGCATCCAATCGCCAAAGTCGGCTGACGGGGCAACCCAGCCGTGCTCAAGAACATTGTCCGCGATGCGCGCAAAACTGTTCGTATAGCCATTGGTGAACCCCTGGATGGACGCTTCACGCTCATCCACCTAACAAAGAGAATCTGTCAGTTGAAGGGCCGTGCTCGAGTAAGTGCAGAAGGCATGGGCCCAATGGCCAACCCATGCCCATCAACCCACCTCGTCAAATCGAGACAAAGGGTCCGTCTTTGAGCACGGCTGGCCCTGACTCATGGACGGATACTTTGAACTGCCATGATTGGTGGCATAAAGCGAGGCCAGAGCCGAGTAGAGACCTTCCGGTGTGGCTGGGTTCGTCTTATCGCTTTGGCTCAAACCCTGTGTACAAAAGTCCAGCTTGGAACCATGAGACAAGAGCGGGGGGATACATCGCTGCCTAGCGTTCCGGGGCACCAACAAGTGACGGGGACCACGCAGCGAGCGAAGCAGTGCCACAAGCGAGCAGCACACCTTGGGCGCACGAGCAAAGGGATAAGCAATGCCAAGGGCACCGCCACGAAAGTTGGCTGCAATCGTGAAGTTGCCCTGCTGTTGCACGTAGTCCATCAATGCCACGGCCTCCGCGACCTGAGATGAGCTGGAGAAGCTATCTTGAATGTCCACGTCCAAGGCGTTGAGCGAGCCCTCCTCGGAATAACAATCGCCGTAACGAGCCGAAGCGTGCCTGCGACATGGAGACGAAATCGAGCAGCCGTATGCAAGAAAAGCGTTCCATCAGCCATCCTGTGCGCATGGCAAGCGTCAGGGGAAGGCCTGTTTGGGCGAGACATGTTCATACCCGTCCATGTTGAGGCGCGGAATCACATGCACCTCGACCTCGTTGAGGATGGCGGCAAAATCAGATGAAGTGGTCATGTCGTCCAAAAGACGTAAAAGAAGCTCGGTGCCCGACGCCTGAGACGCCCCCCACTCATGCGAGATGAGTACAAATCCCAATGCCAGGGTAGCACATGGTGACAAAGCAAAGAACAGCCTCAGCATACCTCGTTGGCATGGATGCCACCCACAAGAAGAGCCTTTGGTGTAGCTTGAGGGTGACGACGACTGTTTTTGCCTTTGGACAGCACACACACACATACATACGTACGCACACACCCACACAGAGCATCAGGCATGTACATGCTGCAAGGTCCATGGGGTGCCCGATAGACAATCATTTCAACAACAAACGTAACCAACCGCTCAAAACGACGCCAGGAATGGGTGTGCCTTGCACAGATGTTCCCACAGATTGGAGCTGCACATTGACGGTTGAGGTGGACTTGAGATCACTAAACAACAGGCACAGCGCACAAGCGGTCGTTCAAAATCAGGCGTGAGCTAGGCTCAAGCGCATCAAGGTTGGCGCGGCAAACAAGCGATCCGTGGCCCCGGGCTGGGCGTACGTCAAAACCGCCGTCAGGTCGGCTGCGGTGTGGCCTCCCGTTTCGCCCTCGGCCTTGAGCTTGAAGTCTAGGGTGACGGCCTGCGGTGGGGTGGCCAACTCGGGCACGACCACACTTTGGCTCTGTCGCAGGACGAAAAGCGAGGCACGAGGCAAGGAGAAATAGATGTGAAGAAATAACCAAAGCAGAGACAGAGAGAGACGGGAGACTGGCCATCCAAACGCTTTGGTAGAAGCGAAGGAAATTGGTGCAAAACTGGACCTACGGCTGTTTCGTAGCCCTCCGCCACGACATTGACGGTGTAAGTACCAGGCACAAGGAGACGCCAGTAGTGACCTGTGACGGTGCTGGCAATGTCGTGGTCGATGCCGTCCACCTAATACCGCCGATTGATGACAGATTTTAAGCGGAGAGGCGTCCACGGGAAGCCTGAACGACCGAATGTGCAAGGTCTAATAAGTTTGACGCACCTGAATCGATGCATCGGCGACGGGGTTGCCCAGTTTGTCGGTGACAACACCCGCAATGCCCATATGAACCTGCCAAGATGGACCATCAGGGTGGGTGCTTCGGTTTAGAGAAGAAAGGAAGAAAAGGAAGCGAGGAGAAGGCGGGCATCCAATCTCAAGCTGCGGGCCCCAAACCCAGGCGACGGCACAAACCATGGACGTGTAAGCCAGAAGGGAGTTGCGGTTGTTGTTCCACTCCCCCTCCATCTCCGTGGCTGCGGGGTATTTGCAGCAGGAGAGTTCGATGGTGGTTTCAAAGCAATTGCTATGAAGGTAATTCCAGTCTTGCATGCCTCCAGGCACGTTGTACCAGTCGGCACCATTGGTGATGCCGTCCTTAAACTTCTCCCAGGCATAACTTGAGCAGGGAGGCTGTGCAAGGGCAGTGAGCTGTGCACGCTGGCTTACAGGTGGGCATGAGAGGCGAGTGTGCGGCAGGTAGGCGGACCTTGTTGTTGCCCATGAAAGCGTGGTTCTTGCTGTAGGTCAGTGCCAAGGTTCGAAAGACGGCGTCGTCAGGAGCTTGAGAATAGACGCTGCTGCCAGATCGCGACGAGTCAAAGGGGTAACTGGGAGCATTTCCACCAGAAGTCGGGCACCGAGGTCAACCAGGCGAATGAAGTGAACTCCAACACTTCCACACGGGGCCAGGCAAGAGGGGTTGGCAACGACAAGCATGGACAAGACAAGCCTGTTACATACCTGGCGACGACAGAGCCGCCATGAAGGTTGGACGAAAGAACAAACGGCAGGGATTTGATCCAGTCCATCATGAGCTGACGCCCGGGTGGCGCGCACAGATTGAGGCAAGAACAAGGCACAAAAAGCATCGATGTGAGGTGGTGGCTGGAATTTGGAGAAACGGCAGCGAGCAACAATCGGTGCGCATCTGGACTCGAGTCAGCTGGGGTCCAAGGGCAGGGGTTGTGACCGGTGGGCGAAGTTGCAAGACCTGAGTTTCGGGTTGGATGGGATAGTAGGGCATGCCTTCAAACTGATCAGGAAAGTTGCGATTAAGGTCGACGTTCTTGCCATTGTTGCGGCCGCCACGCTCACCACACCTGAGATAATCCAAAATGAAAAGCCAGAGATGATGCGGGGCGGGGGTCCAAGCTGAAAAGAAGGGGAGGAAAACTCGAGCGTCCAGGGGCCAAGCGAAAGCGGGTGGCTGATCAAGGACCTACATGTATGGTGTGGCGGCTGCATAGCCGTCTGGGTTCATGGTGGGCAGGATGTACATATCGACAGTATCAACCAGATACTTGCAGCGTGGATCCGCGTCGTAGCCTTCGAGCAAGTACTAGCGGGATAGAAGCGCATCGGGCCCGGGATTGAACAAAGTAGGTGGGTGAGTGGGTCGGAACACGAGCGTGGCGAGACCGGGGGAAGGGGGACGTTGAGAATGCAGATGACCCGGAACCACGCACCTGAATGAGGTTGATAAGGATTTCGCGACCGACAACTTCGTTGCCGTGCATGTTGCCAACCCATTTCATTTTGGGACGGCTGGGAGGCACATTCTTGATGTTTGAGGAGATTCTGGGGTATGGGGGACGGGCATGGTAAGATGGGAAGCCTCGAGGCACGGCGAGAGCTCGTAGTGCATGGAGGACAAGCAAGGGTGGGAAAAGGCGTAAGGGCTTGGGTGGGTCGAAGCAGGCATGGGCGTGTGACAAACCGGATGCCCTTCATGTCAATGCCATTCGCGCTTTGCCCAATGGAGAAGAGTTCAGTGGAATCGGGATAGTCAGCGTGCACGCGCGTGAGGAGCTGAACGAGCTGCTCCTGAGTCGTGTGTCCGTAGACCATGTTGACAGGTGCGATGGCAGAGCTGGCCGACCAGACGTTGGGGTCATGGACGGTGCCATCGACGCCAGCGCTTTGGCTCCCGCGTGGAAGGCTTGTGGCGAGGGCCACGGCAAGGATGAGGGCAATCATACTGACGGCACCGATTGAGCAGCTCAAATAGGGTCGCTGCTTAGCCCAGCGCCATGCTCCGGCCGCACACGCCAGGTCGATGGCTTCCGAGGGCGATCACGCGCACGCAAGCGTGGGGACGGGGACGGTTGCGGGTGCGGTGCCGCCGCACAAGCCGCACAAGCCAGCAAAGCTGCTTGCCAGCCCTGACAACTCGAGGTGTGGGTGGAGATTAAGGATCAAGATTTGGAGGAGGCAATCAGGCCCCAACTCATGTCATGCAAAGGCTTTCCTCAGAGACCTATCGACAAGCCACGAGCGTTGCATCGTGAGAATCATCTGCACCGCGTCGGTCAGAGGTGTCAAGGCGGCTGGGGCGGCGGCTGCTCGGCGACGGCCAATCATCAAGCATAACTGCACTCCAACAGCAAGATCCTCATGCTGAAGAAAGACACCCATCTGCATCCCACTCTCATCTCTCTGTGTTTGATTCATCTCGTCCTCATATCCATGTGCAGGGCCGCGCACGCCCCCGGGCGGCGACAGGCGCTGCCCTTTTGCGTCGTTGTCGTCGTCGTCATCGTCATTGACAGTTGCGTCGACTTTTTCTTTTTGTGTTCATTACCATCTGTTCTTGATGAAAATGCTGACATTTGACGGGCTCCGAACACACACCGCTCGGAGGCCCAGGAAAGGATGACAATGGAATGTCAGAAAGTGTTCGGGAGGCGAAATGAGTGACGATATGGGAGCCCCGGAGGATGCCTGGCTTTCGCAACCATATTTCGTCACCGCAATGGAACGAAGCGCTGGCACGTGTCAAAGCTCATCTTGTGGGATTTGCTTCTGTTGCATCATCGAGACCTCTCATTTCCGTGACTGGAAGGGCATGGGCGTCGTGTGGGTGATGAGGGCGACGTCATGCCAATGGTGCATGTTGGCATTCGGAGGTGCCAAGGGGAAACGCGCCGAAAGTTGCGATCCCAAGTGCTCAAGGACTACTTCCGCTTGGCAGGCGGAGGTGAGGTGTACCCATACGCTCCCACAGATCAGAAAGTGGGGTAGTCGGATGATGTGAACATTTCCAAAGGGCTCATGGGCTTTCGTCACCATGATGGTCCAACAACACACGTAGTCTAGGACAAACCACAATCCATTCGCGCAAATCCTCCACTTCTTCTCCGGATTCACTTCCATAGCAGGAAATGCGTCCCATAACTAGCCCAGTGCGTTGTTTTGGGGAAAGTCGCCCGACTCGGGTACAACACGATACCTGTACGTGAATCAGTTTCTGTGTTTTGATATTGTTTGTTAACGAGCACACTTTGGCAAATAGATGGGATGACTCGAAACCTGTCACTGCCTACGCGTCTTGTCGAGCGTCCTGCATCACGGAAATGGGAGCAGAGAGTCTTTTGAAGCGCTTTTGCTGAGCACGTGACTGGTCCAGAAATTTACCCTGACACCTGGAGATGAGGGGGCCAAGGGATACGACGTTTGACGGCCAAAAGGGCAGCGCGATGCCTAGTGCGACCAACCAAAAGGAAATGAATCGGCTTATTGAACGTGCGCAGCTCACCCCGCCAGCTGGCACATCTCCCCCCCATCCCCCGACCTCGTTCACTGTCTTGCAAGCCCTAAAGGAAGGGAAACCTCATCGAACATGAAACCCTATTTGCGAGGCTCGACGAGGCTTTTGTCTTAGTGGTTTTTGTTTTTGCCATTTTGGCTGCACATCGTATGATCTCCTCGAGAACACGAACCACGACAACAACAACAACAACAACAACCCTGTCCGGCCATCTTGTTATCGACCCTGCAATAGCAGACAGATGCATAGAAGATGCAGGTCCCGTTCTCGCGGCGCAGCCGGCTGGCGCCCGTCAAATACCTACAACACATTATTCTTCCAAAAAAACACCCCCACTACCACCATTACCGCCATCTTCCGACGCACAAGCTGTGTACAAGAAACAAGAAAACGTCACAAATCGATGCCACACAGTATCCCGAACCTTTAATCAGCTTTGCTGCTGCGATTCCCACACAAACCAACGCCGCCTTGCTTAGCAGACTCCACAGTGTGACAGACAGCTTCGTCCAACAAACAAAAGACGACGACCAAAGGAAATCAAAAGAAGACGTCCAACACAAACAACACACACCCTTTTCCTCCTTGCCCCTATAGTCGTACCACTTCCAGTCTCTCTCTCTCTCTCTCTCACTCACTTCTTGGTTGGGCACGTGAGAACCCAACAAAACAATCACCACCACTACTACGACTACTGCAAGTCAAGCTACTACGGGTTAGAGGCAATAGAGGCAATAGTACATTACTGTCAAGTGACACACACACACAACACTTGATTGACGCTTTAAACGCTTTAACACACTTGGCGTCCTTTTGATTTCTTTTGTTCTTGACGAGCAGTTTTTTTCGTCGAGTGACGCGCGCTTGTCCCTGCTCCTGCCTCTCTCCCTCTCTCTCTCTCTCTCTCCCTCTCTCCCTCTCTCCCTCTCTCTCTCGACCCGCGCCCGTCGACCAGCTTCTTCGCTGCCACTTTTTACTGTCCAGCCGCTGGATCACACACATTGGTCAACAAGCACCCACTGGTAGGTGATTTCTCTGCATCTCGCGACCGATTACTTTTGCTCTGCCCTCCTTTTCTTGGCCTTGGGTACCGTCCCCCCGACCCCAATCTGCTCCGGTCCCACCACCACCGCCACCTACTCCTGCTGGCGGTGGGGGCAGGGGGGGGGGTGCATGCCAACACCTTTTGGCCCTGTTGGCCTGGCTTGGCCCAAACATCACACAGGCGCAACAAGTGTCTTCCTGCATCTTTCCTCTGTGGTCACATCACCATCCATTCCCCGTCACCACCTCCAAAACTCTCTTCTCTCTCTCTCTCTCTCTCTCTCTCTCCCTCTCTCTCTCTTCTCTCTCTCCCCCCCCCCCCCCCGAGCCCGAGCCCCTGCCACTTTGTTGACGCCAACCCACCTTTCTTGTGTGTACAGATTCTTTCTGGCTTTCTTCTCATTTTTTTCTACCTTCAACCTTGACCCTCTATCCATCTTCGGTCGTGGTACGCCCTCTCCACCCTCCCGCTTGCCTCCAGCAGCCAGGCGACTGCCATCAAGAGGCGGTGCTTGCACTTGCATAATCAAGCCACAAAACTTGACACCCACCTTGATCATCACACTCTTTTTCCACATCACCACTTTGTGCCTGCGTTTGACATTTATCCTTCCCTTTTTTTTGTGTGTCTTTCCCCCATCAGCCCTTGTTTCTTTTTGGTTTTTGACGTCAACACTACACACACACACACACAGCCATTCGGGCCGTCAGTCACAGTCACAATCGTCGCGTTGCCCTTGTCATTCTTCCTTTGCGAACAGCTCATTTTATGCTCTTGCCGCCCTCGCTTGTCTCTCCCTCTTTGCAGAAGGACCCGGCAATACCTCTTGGCCCGCCTTGAGCCGATTGCTTTTCTCGCGCAACCTGTTGTTTCAGATTGCTCGACGCCATATCTACTCTGTGACAGCGCTCGCTGCCACTTTTGTCCTGCCATCATGAGCTCGTTCTGTGCCATGTCCATGTCCTTGGACCACTTGAGTCCTGGCATGAAAAACTCTTTTGAAAGCCTGAGCCCTGGTGCCCAACACTTTTTGCGCTCACTCCTCGAGACCACGACCAACAGCCACACTGACCGCGACCGCCTTCGCCCCTCACCAGTTGACGAGGATGACGACCCCGAATTTGGTGCTCGCATTAGCGCCTCCCTGCGCGAACTCAACTCTGTCATGGATGAAATTCTCGGCGTTTCTCCCGAGGAAAAAACAAAGCCCTCGAGCGTCACCCTCCACGATGATGGCTTCTCCGGCTTTGCCGACCCAGACCCATCACCAGAAGATAACCTCTCCTTTCTTGTTCACAATCGTACAGACCTGCCCGGACTTTCTGCCACTGCCGAAGAACTCGACGCCAACCTCCCCAGCACACTTTTGCCCTTTGACTTTCCCGACGCCGAGATTAACAACGCCGTAACATGGACTCAACACCACCAGCAGGACGACCACAACCCCTCGGCCAAGGAACTCTTGAGCCCCTTTGACCTGGACCACATGAACAATGGCAATGGCTCTTACTTTCTCGAGTGCGGCAACGGTGTCGTTCCTGAAGAAGCCGGTGACATTCTTGCCGCAGATGTCTTCGTCGTTGGCCAAGCTGGCACGGAGACCGACTCGGCCTACAATAGCTCACCCTCGGCCTCACCTAGCTCCAAGCCCCACTCCCCACGCCTCGATGGCTCCTCCCCACTCCGCAAAAATGGACGCAACTCTTTTGACGATGGCAAGAGGAAAAAGGTCCCTAGCAAGCCCGCCAGCTCTGCGAACCGCATCAGCAACAACGTCCGACGCGTCTCCACCACTAGCAGCACCACCTCAGAACCTCGAACGAACCAGTACCGTGGCATGAGCCAACGTGACGCACACAACGCCATGGAACGCGAACGTCGCGTGCAGCTGAGGGAGAACTTTGAGGCTCTTCGCGCCGAGGTTCCCTCATTGCGTGACGCTGACAAGGCCGCCACCCTTCAGATCCTTCGCGAAGCCACCGCATACATCAAGCGCATCCGTGATGAAGAGAAACAACTCCTCGAGGAGAAGGCTCAACTCATTGCCATCAACGACAGTCTACGCAAGAAAGCCACTGTGGTCCATGACGATGACAGTGACGTGCCTCCCCTTCTTGCGCCACCTTCGTAAACTGGTGGTGCTTCCTCTTGCTCTGTTTGTTTTCTTCCTCCTTTTTTTTTATTTTGAGCTGAGTGCCATCCCGCTGGCGTGCCTAATAATATTATTATAGGCAGCTCACTCATCTCGTTTAGTCCTGGCATCCTTGGATTGATGTTGGCATGCATGTTGGATTTTATTGCGCTTGTGAATGTGTTTCGGGAGATATGTTTTTGTTTACCTGGTGTGCCCTTGCGATCGGCCAGACGAGTGTGCTGGCCAGGCATACCCTCCGACTTGTTTTCATGTGTCCAACAGCTTTTTGCCGTGCAATGCCTTGTGCAGTCATTGTGGTCGTGTTTGTTGCTTTTCAACGTACTTGTCTTAAATGTTCATTCATCTTGCTTCATCTCCAAGGCTTGCAATTGACCCCTCACCTCAAATGCAACATTCAAGGCACATCCTATTTCATGATGGCAAGCCAATTTTGGCCAAATAAAATATTATTCTCGTAACTCACATGAGCGACATGATTGGGCCTCTTGGCCGCACCACTCATCAACAACCAATAAATAAACATGGATCGAACGATTTGAAAGTATCGTATTGGATTGATTGTTGATCATTCAAACTCGAATCATTTTTCCTAAAATAACTGGATGTTACAAATCCATGCAGCAAAACAGACATTTCAATCCCCGTGGAATGGCAGAGGCTTTCTTGTTGCAATCGCTACTCTTGCATTCGAATGAAAAATTCCTTGAGATGATCCTCAAGCTGAGCGACCTACACAAACAAGCCAAGGATAGAAGAAAGGGAGTTGAAAAAAAAAAAAAAAAAAAAAAAAAAAAAAAAAAAAAAAAAAACAAGGAAAAACATATGGAAAAGGAACCTGGCAGGCTCCACGGCGCTAACAGCACCTCCCAAACTATCGTGCCAAAACTGTGTGTGCGTGTGGCACATACCGTTGGAGTAACTTTGAGATTTGACATCATCCAGCCTGGTAATTTGTTCCGAACCCGCGGCGTGGCATAGCGCTCATCCAGCATGATCACCGCTATGACAACAAATAGATCGATGCAAAGCAAGACAAACGTCACAGGTTGTCGCGACATCGGCTCAAATCCACCGTGAAGACGCTGCCAAACACACCGGCAAAGTCACCGCGATGGCGGATGGCTCGTCCGATGGACTGATTCACCGCCTTGAGACATAGATTCTCGTAGTATTCCTACAGCAAACGAGGTGCCGCAGGTGATGCTTGCGCCCATCGATGACACCTGTCACTTCTCCTCAACCGCGTCCTGGTCATGTTCGGCGAGTTTGAGATCATCCAGTCGCAGCCACACACCTGGCCTTTGTCAACGCTACCACTTGCGGGTTGACTGCGCAAGAATGCCATTTTCTCTTGAAGTTCCTTGGAGTGCAAGTTTGGATAAGGCATGCCTACCATGACCACGCAGCGGCCAAGGTCATCCTTAAAGTTGATGCCCTCGGACAGCTTGCCACCAACTACCGAGAAAAGGGCGGCTCCCCCCTGCAAAAAAGAAAATGAGGCCACAAATCGAGTCTCACGCGAAAATTCACCGTAACGAAGCACCCAATGCAGGCCCTTTGAGCGAGCAGCCGGGCCCCCACCTTTTGAATTGCCGTCGCGTACTGCTGCAAAACCACATCGACATCTTTGCCCGCTCGAGGCTCACGAAAAATCGGCTTGTGTCGCTAAAAAAGGTTCCGTGACCCGCCCAAGTCCCACAAGTTGGTGAATCGTGACCCCCTTTGCATGATTGAGCCGGATCAACTCACCTCAAACTTGCGCAGGACACCTTGGCGTGTCCAAAACTCCACAAGCTTCTGCTCGTACTCATAAGAGGGAAAGAACACAACCAGGCCTGCGGGGACCGTCGCAGCCACTCGTATTAAACTTTCACCAAGTTCTCGCATCATCTAAAAAAACATACAAACAAACAAACAAACGCCACAAGCAGTAGTCATTCACATCAGACTGGGGCTCGTTCTATTCAGGATGGCATGATCCGCAGCCATTCCAAAGACCGTACTGCTTCGCTCTGCCGGGTGCTAAAGGTCAGGCGCAAGGGCTGGCGATTGGAGGTCTGTGTCAGAACGATTGGACAAAGATGCGATGACGGCACAACATGCCCACATGCAAAGTGATGCACCTATATTACACCACACCAGATGAACAAGTGAGCTCGCTTCGTTTTGATACAGATCGTAATCTTGAGCGAGTGTACTCACGGCCACGCTTTTCGTAGCTTGCGTAGTCAGCTGCTCGACAAAGTCGGTCACTGGAGACATGGTTCCCCCAGCCACAATGACAGCTCGAGCACTCTGCAAAATCTGTGACAGTTGCAACCAGGCAAGGCGTTTGAGGGGCCGATGAGGGATACCCATGCCATCAATGAAAAGGTCTTTCCGCGGACTCAAGCCCCACATCTGCTGACCTCCTCAAAGTAGACGGCAGGGTTGAGCAAAAGAAAACGAATGAAGGACTGTTTCAAGCTGCGAGGCGACGATGCAGAGATTGAAGTTTACAGTGTCAAACAATAAAAGAAAGCAAGTCAAATCTGCCCCCATGTTGGTACACCAATAAAAAAAAAGCACACGGTGCACTCACCCCGAGTGAGCCTGCTTCACCAAGACGCGACCGTCACGATTACTGTTTGAGAGTGCCTGAAAGAGAGTCTCCACCACACGCAGCGGAGATAAATGCTTGGAGCCTGTCTCGCTACCACACCTAGAGCGATGAAGTAGATGAGAGGCTTGGCCTAAAGCTACATGTTGGGGCGCCAGCATTGCCGGTGCATGTCGATAGACACGTCAGACTTACACTTGGCCAGCCTGGCGGGCGCGTCGTTCAGCAAACCCAAGCAGCTTGCGACTAATCTCGCTGCGCTCGCAAAATGTCTGCAGGTGGCATGGGTTTACAGGAGACTGATCAAGATGGGTACGTGCGGTTGTGTCTTGCTCGGCAAGTAACTTGAAGCAGTTTATGTCCTCAGCGCAACCGTTCGCACCAAGAGTTTGAAAAGATTGACATGATCCGTCTCGGTCGCAAACAGAAACTCATTGACAGGCTGCAGCCGCTCCGAATCAGTCTGGGATTCGAGCCCATCGGCTATGAAACCGAATGCATTGGGTGTGTCAAGAGTGACACGAGAGAGGCGATGACAGAAGATCAAGGCCTGAAACAAATTGCCCGGAATCAATTTCACATACCCTTTTTGACAGCCATCAGCCAGCGCTTGAGCGTGAATAGTAGCTGCTTGACATACATCAAATTCTTCGCCTTAAGGCGGGCCTGCCAGGTACAACATAAGGTCAGAGGAAGAGGAGGAGGCAACTTCATGTAAAGTATTGCCTACCTTGTATCGTTGACAATACTCTAGTAAATCGCGGTGTGCTCCCAAAAGCTGCCCATTCGCCCGATGTGTTGTTTCAGCCGCACAAGGTGAGCAGAACATGCGGCAAAGGGAGTGGGTGCCAAGGCTGACTGATAGAGTGGAGCACGTACGATATCACCAGTGACGGTGACAGAATGAATGTTGGCGATGGTGTCCATCAAATTGTGAGCCTAGTGCGCAAAATGATTAGGGGACTGAGATTTCACTTGGGAAATTTTCAGTGGTCGCCAATGTGACGAGGTTCAACAGTAGGGCGACAGCTCGGCCATGAACAAACCTCGTCGATGATCACCACGTTGTTGGTCAGTTGCAAGCCTGAAGCTAGGCGTGTGGACTGGGCGACACGCCACATCGCTAGGTCAGCAATGGTAGGACAAGGTTGCAATCATCTGCTTTTGGCACGACCTACCTTGTGCAAGAGCATGTTGTAGGGGACAACAACCAGCTACGGCGATGGTTGTGGGCGTTGAAATGCCATGTCAGCCACGATTGACGCCATCAAGAAGCGAGTGGCCATGAGGCAGGGCCTTACCTCAGCAGGGGCGACGGCTTTTCGCGCGGCATAATAGGCGCATGCCTTCTCGCGAGACGCCATGGCAGCCAGTTCCTCCACGTCCAAAGGTTGCAGCTACGCGCCACATGCGGCAAGGGCAATGGATTTCAGCATGACATCGGGCATTGGCTGAAATTGGAGGGCAAACCAGCGCAACTCTTGGGAGTGATGTCATTCCTACCAGGGCACGGTCAGGCAGCGACTTCATGCTAGGTGCTGCGAGCATGGGACAACCAGGTGCCGGGGCTTTGGCCCGTTTGTCCATCGGGGCCTACCACAAGCATGTTGGGGGAGGGTTTAATACAAAAATACACAAGCCAACAGAAAAGGCTTTTAGCGTTTTTAAGAAGCCGCAGTCTCATTAAGTTCGCACCTCATCTGCATCTGGGTCCTGCCGGGCCTCACGCTGATCCTTTTGCATATCCATGCATTTCTCATTAATACGGCTCAAGTCGCCCAGCTAGGGAGGAGTCGAATGAAGACAACACGAGGTGATGGTCGGCGAAGTAGGACCAGGTAGAGCCAACAAGAAATCTTCAAACAAGTCCCGTTATGTCGGAGGAAGTGCTCTCAGTCGGCACCTTTTGAACTTGTGGGTTGGTGCAGAGAGAAGCGCGGCTGGCCAAGGCGACGAGGCGAACGTCAGCGGCGAAAGGACTGCCTTGCACTTCGTGCACAAACTGTGATAGCTGCGAGTGGGTTCGGCTGCAGAATATAATCTAAAGCAAAATCCCGTGAGAGGATGGCCCCAAGCTGCGGTGGGAGACGGTCGATCGAAGGTTTCTGAACGGAAGAGCACCCGCAGAGACGCTGCCAGTGGTATGTGTCGATCAGATGACGAGGGCCGAACCTTTGTGGCATGTGCCTCGGCATTGTCCGAATGTTCATCTTGAGTTTGGCTATCAAAGCCTTCGTCCTCCGACTCGTAGTCGCCCAGCCAGCATTCATCAACCTCTACAGGCAGAGCCGGCTTGCTCAGATGGTCCAAGCCTGCCAGGGGATCAATGCGACCACTGGAGGTGTGCGGTGCCTCCCGACTGGCAGAGCGTTCAAGGCGCTGCTGAGCCGATTTGGCGCGTAACCGCTCGAGGCGTGATTGTTTGGTCTGGAGTCGTTCCTGGCGTTCAATTTCGTCCTGCAAAGCCTCGAGGCGCCGTGACTTTTGCGCTTGTGTCGTGATCCAGCTCGGTTGGCCTAGTAGCAAACATTTGTGGGCATGAGTTGTGATTGAGGGGCTCGGTCGGCCCCCTTGCCCCACTGGCATGCGCCATTCAGACCACGGATACCAAAATCCGGGCGGGTGAGCAAACTTTGCATGGTGGCCGAACCTGAGTTGGTACTGGGGCCAGCCTTGGCCGTATCAGGGCGGCGGTCAGGCGACTGAAGCTGTTCTTGTAAATGGTCATGCATGCGCTGCTCATGATCGCGGAGCCAGCGCAGGGCCCCACAGAGCAGAGAAAGGGATTTGCCCTGTGGTGCAGGACCGGTGGCATGTTTAAAATTGGACAGCGAGGGCTCGTGTGTGGGCGAGGAGGTGGCTTGGTGGTGGGTTTGCAACGAAGAGGCGTTTGACTTACGGTGCCGGTCGGGCTTTCAAAAATACCTAGCCCGCCTTGCTCAATGGTCTCGTATAGGCGGTGCATAAAGTCGCGCTGGATGCTGTATGGTTCAAAAGGAAATGCAAAGTCGACTGGTGTGGCCAGGGGTTTGGGCTGCTCGTTCGGACTAGGTCCACCTGCGGGGGCCGGTGCTGTCGCCATGACCCACCGTCGTTGGCGTCTGTTCGGGTAGGGCGAACGTCGAGGCAAGGCGCGCGCAGCGACACGCGGGCGTACACGAGGGCAGGAATTTTTGCCTGCCTTGTCAAGTACGGTCAGATCAGGTGTGTTGATGACGCATCGTGCTCCCTCAGCAACGTGGCACGAAGTCGATCAGACGCCCAGTGTCGAGCCAGTCTGAGCCGGAAACGGGCCCAGAGACGTGTCACGCAGAGTTGAATCGGGCGGTTGAATACAGGTCAGTTTTCGACAACGGCTATTTAGCGAGCGAACGTAGTGAACACCAAACTCCGCTCTTTTTGGCGGGAAAACAACAATTGTCATCAACTTTGTTGGCGGGAAAGTGTTGTCGACAAAACAGAGCGTCGGAGCGATTTCTGCAATGCTTGCTTCCCTTTGTTGCAGAAATTGGCGTCCTCAACGGTAACGGCGATGAGCCCCCTTTTTGATGCTGACGCTTGCTTGCCATGTTGATAGCAACTTTGACACGCAACGCCCTAAGCGCATGGTGTCAAACTTCGCAATCACCACCATCACACAGAAAGAGAGAGAGAGAGAGTGTGTGTGTGTGTGAGATAGAGAGAGTTTGAGGCGGGGCGGGTCAGTGGTGGTGGTGGTGGTGTGCTGGGGTGCGTGCTCAGCGACATTTCCCTGCTTGCTCGTCGTCAATTCTTGTCTGCTGTCTCTTGTGCTTCTTGGATTTGCACTTGCCATCTCGACAGATCAACATGGCTCCTACTCTGCGCGAGCGCAAGCCCAAGGCCGTGGCCGCCGCCGTCCCCGCGACTGGCGCCGAGCAAGCCAAGAAGGTCACCAAGCCCCGCAAGACGGCTGCCCCCAAGGCCCCCAAGGCCCCCAAGGCTGCCGCCACCCCCAAGGTTGCTGCCCCCAAGAAGGAGAAGGTGCGCCCCTAAAACAGATCTGGCGATGGAGTTTTGCCAACAGGGCCGACGCAAGCCACCACCCTTGCGTCTGGTCCTGCCCTTGCGCGATCTCTCACATGATTTCAACCCATGTTTGATCTCACTCGTGACCATATTTTGCCTGTTGCTCCACATACAGGCGCCCAAGGCCGCCAAGGCACCCAAGGCACCCAAGGCCGCCAAGGCACCCAAGGCACCCAAGGCCGCCAAGGTTGCAGAGCCCGTGGCCGAGGAGACCGTCGTCCCCACGGTCGCCGTCTCGGCATGAGCACAAACCGACGACCTCTTGATTGTTTAGCAATCAATGCTTGTTTTTTCTCGTGAAATCTCGTGTATGCGTGTGTGTGTCGTTTCCTGTGTTTGTGTCTCACGTTTTTGCTTTTTTTTTTTTCCCCTTCCGCTTTCTTCCATCTTCACTGCTATGAATGAGTAAATTGACCACAATATCATACAATAAGAGGTAGTCAGCACCCAGCATGGCTGGAACGAGCGAGCGCCTCTGGGACATGGATCAGCGTGTGCTTCAAGCCGTGCACATCTCATCCCCGCCTACGACCCGAGAGGGCTCAGAGGAGGGCCAAGCCCTTGTCCGAGACAGGCGTGCAATGGCAAGCGGGTTAGAGAAACAAGTTGTCGGAAGTGCTACTCCGCCTGGAGTCATCCGTCTCCAGCTCTTCGAGAGGATGAAAAGAGGCCGTGACGTTTTCTGCTTGGTGCGCAAAGATGCACCACTTGAAGCGCGCCTGCAGCCAAGACCGCATGTAGTAAATCTACCAACACGACACATGCTTGTGAGATCAGCCTTGCGTCTGCCGAAAGAGCCCACAAGAGAGAGTAACGGGCAAGCGACTCGCTCGCCCCACCGGGATGCCAACGACGATAAAGCCCAGCGAGATGAGACTGTTTAGAGGCGCCAACACGATCAAGCTGAGGACTAGGCCAGCCGCAATGAGCAGGAAGATGATGGGTACGGCCGTTGGCACTCTGCGCCCGTGAGCGACATCGCATGGCACAGGCATTATCATCAGCAAGAGGCACGTGTTCCCAGGCGACATGTAGAGAGGGCCGGTCAGTTTGAGCCAATTGAAGCAGGACGAACCGGTATGGCCGCTCATCGTGCGGACGCAAGCGCCTGAGTCGCAGGAGGCTCAGAACAGCAAGGAAATAAAAGACCCACGCAGCGGCACTAAAATACTCCACCTTTCGTAACGCACAAGCGTTATTCACATGAGCCCCATGCCGTGTGGCCAAGCACGCAATTTATACCAGATCAAGGTCACCAGAACGCACGACCACCACCCTTGGCATGCATGTGCCCCACGCCGTGCTGCCATTCGTACTTACCAAGGCATTGAAATCGCTAGAGAGCAGCAGTGTGGTGCTGACAATGTCTATAACAGCGGCGCAGCATAGGACAGCGCATGAGCTTTAGTGACGCTAGTTCGGGGTCCATGTGCCATGCAAAACTAACACTGCGACAAGAGCGCAGGCCCTGGCGTGGGTTCCCGCCCCGACCATAGACCACCGAGGAAAGATGGAAAATGGCCTTGCTGGGCCGACTCGCGGACTAGGCGGGCCGCTGTGTATAAGGAGCCTACGTCCAAGGTCACCAGACGAACCATGCATGAGCAGTTTTTTTTTCTAAGCTTTTCCGAGCGTTGGTCAGCACACCTGCCCGTGCCGAGCGTACCGTTGGTGGCGCCAAAGGCCGAGGCAAAGATGAGCAAAGGTAAGATGACACCCCCCACGCGGCCCATAGTGACGCGCGCAAAGGTGCTGGCGAAGCTCTCATTAGGCTTGCCCGCCTCAAGGTCCGCGATCGAGTCCAAGTCCAACACGGCAAAATAGGCCAGGTTGGCAAACACATAGATGACGACAACCAAGGGGATGCCAATGACCAAGGCACGTGGTAGGTCACGAGCAGGATTCACCATCTCGGCCACGCAAAAGTTGGCGTTGTTCCACCCGTCATACGAGAAGAGCGCATTCACCACGGCCAACCCAAAGAGGCCGATGGAAAACTGAAGATCCAGACGCACCAAGTGAGCATTGGCCATTGATGCCAACTATGCACGTACCGCGCGAGAAAGCCAGGTTGGTTGCAACAACAACCAAAGGCAGTACGTACTCGATCGCTTGAAAACGCATTGTCACCGTGCAGGTTGCGGTATGCGGCCGAGTCAGGATCCTAACCGGACAGCACAACCACGTCGCCCCAACACCGAGGGTGACAGTAAGAGGAGCTAGAGACTCAGGTTCAGCTTTCCATTAGGGGCAATGCCGACCCACCTGAGCAAAGTGAGCCAACCATGCGAGGCCCAGCAGGGAGATCAGAACAAGCGCCATGACTTTGATGGCCGTGGTGCTGTCCTGCAGCCAAGCTCCCCAGCGGCTGGACCAGCAATTGATAAGCAGGACCACGGTGTTGAGGGCAACGGCAACGCCCTTAAAGGTCCATTCGTCCACAAATTCGGTGCCGCTCAGTGCCTTACACAGATACTCGCCCGCAATGAGAATCATGATGGCCTGGGAGCCTGGGCGCGTAACGACGCTACTCGTCCATGTGAAGAGAAAGGCGACTACTGGGTGAAGACCAGCGTTGATGTACGTGTATTCGGCACCATTAGCCGGCAAGAGCGTGCCGAGTTCGGCATAGCAAGCTGAGCCCATCAGCGCCACTAGGCCCGCGACGATCCAGGCGATAAAGGCCATGCCCGCCGATTTCGCATCGACAAGGACAGAGCCAGGCGAGGCAAAGATGCCACTCCCAATCATGGTGCCCACCACAAAGGTGATGGCATTGGTCAGGGTCAAAGACCTGGGCGGCTCTAGTTGAACTGCAGTGTGCAGCCGCAAATCACGCGGGCCAGCACATGAAGAGCGGAGAAGGCATGAGCATGCGATGGGCAGACTCAAGCCTGGTTTTCCCCGACTCACTTGTCAGCACACACCTTGGATGTTTACGTCTCCGTCAATCGATGCATCAGGAGCAATGCCCGGTTGCTCCAGAAAGGGCACGGTATCTTCGTCTCCGAGGTCAGCGTCCATCGCGCTGATGGCTGCTATACCCCGCTGACGCGCTCGCGATGCCATCCAGTTTACCCGACTCACACAGCGTTGTCCACGAAGACCCAGTGATAGTACGGGGGCAGCACTGGACGTTGGTCATCCACACTCCTTTGGCGACTACGGTCTTGGTCACGCCTGGAGCGTGAAATCGGCTGCTGTCACCCCAACTGGCCAACCTGCGCGATCCAGAACGGACGTCCGCAGAGAGAGAGATTTAGAGATTTAGAGATTTAGAGATTTAGAGATTTAGAGAGAGAGATTAACAGAGAGAGATTTTGAGAGATTTTTGAGGAGAGATTTTGAGAGAGGAGAGAGAGCACGCAAAAGAGAAAAAGATGAAAACAAACAAAAGTGATGGTCGTTGGACGGGACTTGTGAATGACTTTGTTGTGAGTCTGTGGTGGGCTTTGGGCTGTGGCTAAGGAGGGCAGGCTTGGAAAGGAGAGGCAGAGTTGCTGTGCGAGGGCCTGTTGCGATGAAGGACGTGCGGGACACTGGATTTTGTATATTCTGTTGGGTCAATTTATTCTGGCAATAAAGTGGTGATTGGGGTGAGTCTCATCATGAGTTGACACCCACGATCAAGCTAGAAAGGCGCGGACCAGCCGCTCTCGAGATCAAGGCAGGTACGCAAACACGACACACGGGGTGAACACGCATTTGAGGGCTGAGCCCAAGCCTGCACTGCAGGCGTTTCGGAGCTGGTGTCAAGAGCTCAGGCCACCAAAAGTCCGGGTGCGGGCAACGAGCGGGTAGATTTGCATAAGCGCGATCCGATTCGACAGGTTCTCGACCATGGCCATCATGTTGCCAAAATAAAAGGCTTGAAAGCCTTCTGAACGGATCATGTCGCGTGCATATTGCCAGCTTGATCGCATATCAACGGGATCAAGCGCGATGTAACGTCGGCGTAAGACGTCCAGGGGGTAGGCGAGCATGCCAGCTGCGATGGCGGTCAGGAAGGTGTTGGCCGGTCCGATCCGAGAGGGCATGAGCGAAAGCATGCCAGCATAGGACAGGCGATAGACAAGCACGCCGGCCACTGAGAGGCCGAGGCCACGGTACAGACGTGGCACAGCTGATTCAACACCCTATCCAAGTTGAGTTGCACACGCGCCAATCAGCCACGAAAGCACACAGAGAGCAGACGCAAAGTCCGACGCGTCAGAGCAGACATGATCAATCAGGGGGTGCAGTTCAAGCTCAGCGGCCACACTTCCAGACACGCGTCGGGCGTTGCATTGTTGGCGGTGAGGGGCAAGAGCTTACCGCGGAGAAGGCTTCGCGTAAAGCATGAAACCCACTAGTGTAGCGATAGTGACCATTCACGGGCACATCCTGGGTAGTCTTGAGAGCACAGAGGCTCAGGGGGTAGGTGAGAGAGAGGTGAAGCAGACTCTGCGCGAGCGCAAGGCCAATGCGGGTCGCAGGCGAGGCGTCGGCGGCCGGCATGCATAGACTCTCGATGATCGGCCGAAGCAGCAAGCTGGGAACGAGGCCAAGGGCTATTGAGTCGAGGGCACCATGCCATATGCTCTCAACACCACCCTGTTTGAATTGCCATTGGGCGCAGGCGGATGGACTGCACACAGCCAAGATGTCGGCCTTGTTCTGAGCGTGTAGCTCCCCGCTGACGGCCATCAAAGCGCGGACGCGGTGCAAAGGGTGAGTCAGCAAAGAGCTGAGTATGGTCGAGGCCGCCACCGCGGGCGAAGCGACTTCAGCAACCACCATGGCGTGGGCCGAAGTGCAGCCAAACGCGCGGCCACGGCAAGCGTATGGGTGGAAGCGCCCCCCTCGGCTTTGGGTGCCGAAGTGTCACGCCAATGTGCTCGTCTCGTTTGATCAACCACGGCGAGTGCACAGAGGCGGATGACGGAAATAAGAAGGGCCGACAGGAGTCAAGGCGGCCGCCGTGCGAACACGAGGAAAGACGAATAAGGAACAATCAGGCAAGGAGATGGGGAAATAGACGGTTGGAAGGGGGAGGGGAAACGTGGCCCCGAGCAAAAAAAAAATAGCAAACCAAGTCCGCCGGCTTTCCCAGCACACTGCAACTCTTTAACGGGAAACACCTGCTGCTCTGCACAACGTCAGCTCGTCTTGTCACCCCGACCCAAAACAGGAGCAGACAGAGCGCAGACAGAGCGCAGACAGAGCGCAGTCAGAGCGCAGTCAGAGTGCAGACAGAGCGCCAAAGTGCGCGCTCGTCGACCAGTGGCAATAGCGTGTCACACACGTAAGCTCGTCAAGGGGAGATGCGCAGCGGTAATACCACACATTCGAAATAGATTTCCCTACTTGAAGGTGCATTAGCAGAACGATTTGCATACGAGTTGTCACACAATTACGCCTTATGATCATACATGGCTTCAAAATTATCACACCCGTGGCCACATTCTCCACACCTGTTTGTCTGACAATGTGATGAGGTCCTAGCAGCATCCCTGAACGGGTGCAAGGAAAGGGTGAAAGTGTGCAAGGAAAAGTCATGCGCACGTCAACCTGTCACACACCGTTTGAAGGTAAGGAAGGGGGTTTATGGGAGGGGCGCATCTCTGCGCAGCGCTGCGCATGACTTTCACGTGTGTGGCATGGTGCATTGAATTTGCGGATCAAGCAGGGAAGTCTCCACGGTCAGGCACCACCCATGGCGCGCTCTACCTTCGAAGTTCACATGTGCTGATGCGTTTGAATTCACGATGACGCCCACGCCATTCACGACGCAACGAATGAGTTCATGTATGGTTGAAGGAATCACATGATGCTCTTCTTGAAAGTACTCGAGCTGAACAACGTAGACTTGACGGCACTAACTAGCCTGTCAATGGGAGGTTTGGACTGGGCTATGCTATAAACTTTTGGTCTCAAGCAAACATGCGTCGTCGCCAACGCTTCGGGCAGCCCAGCCGCATTATTTATGATCAGTTTCTCTTAAGCATGTCATTGTTCTGCTCCATCATTCAGGTGGCATGCTTCGATTGGCCTCGCTGTTGTCTCACCAAGTCAACAAGACACTTGGGAGGACAGAACAGAACGAATCTTCCTCGCAAAGCACACACATACACACACCAAGCACATTCGATGTGGTCCTGGTTTGAATCAGACTCGGCTCTCTCTCTCTCTCTTCTTTTTTTTCTTTCTTTTTGCTCTCTTTATCTCCTCATTTTATGGGAATGGGAACAAGTCGTGGACCGGGCTTCTACTTGCGACCGCGCGACCTGCGCCGCGGGGCGCTGGATGAACGTCCAGCACTGAAGACGGCTGCGTTGGGTGGTGCAGGCCCACCTACAAGACAGACGGCCACAGTTAAAGCGGAAAGAGTAAAGGCCATCAAGATGGCCAACCAATACACAGGCGAGTCGGCCAACAAGCAAACGGAAAACTAATATCAATAGCAGTCAGTACCTGTGCCAAATGCGGGTGCACCCGCCCCAAAACCGCCAGAAGGAGTGCCTGGACCGCTTCCAAAGCCCCCCGCACCCGTACCCGCACCAAAGCCACCAGTGGGCGTACCCGAACCACTCCCAAAGCCACCGGCTGTGTTGCCAGTGCCCGTGCCGCTGCCGAAACCACCGCCCGTGCCCGCACCAAAGCCACCTGGTGCGCCAGCACCGCTCCCAAAGCCGCTGGTTGGTGCAGGGCTGCCACTACCAAAGCCACCGGCTGGCTTGGAACCAGCACCCCCAAATGCACCTGGCGTGCCAGCGCCACTTCCAAATCCACCAGTTGGTGCAGGGCTGCCACTACCAAACCCGCCGGCTGGCTTGGAACCACCAAATCCACCTGGCGTGCCAGTGCCACTTCCAAATCCACCAGTTGGCGCAGGGCTGCCGCTCCCAAAGCCACCCGCTGGTTTCGCACCGAAAGGTGACGCACCTGTGGATGCCCCTGCAAAACCCCCTGGAGCACCAGGTTTTGCCGCGGCGCCTCCAAAAGGGCTGCTTCCAGATGTCGCGCCGTTTCCAAACCCCGAGGCACTTGCACCGGCTCCAAAACCCTGAGCAGACTGTCCATTGCCCGAGGAAGCTCCACCAAAGGGCTTGGCCCCACCGCCAGCACCCCCACCAAAGGGGCTGCCAGCAGCCCCAGGGGCAGCTCCGGGCTTGGCCGAAAAGTTGAAGCCCCCTCCACCCGTAGGCCCATTGGTACTCGGGACCGCTGGGTTGCCGCCAAAGGGTGATGCACTAGGCTTGGGTGCCGAACTTGCACCAAAAGCAAACCCGTTTTGTGAGGTTCCGCTCGTGCTCGTGGGCGCAGTACTCGCCGGAGCAGCTTGGCCAAAGGGTGACGCTCCACTCGTTGCCGCTGGTGGCTGACCGAATGGCGAGCTACCAGAAGAGCCCTGGGTGGCATTTGTTGGCCCGCTACCCGGCTTACCAAAGGAGAAACCCCCACTTTGGCCAGGCGCACTGCCACCCATGCCACCCATGCTCGGAGACGCACTCGCTTGGGTGCCTCCGCCGAAAGCTGGAGCACCCTGGCCAGCCGGCTGAGCACCAAAGGGGGAAGCTGTTGTGGACGGGTTTCCAGCTGGCTTTATCCCACCTGCTGGTTGACCAAAGGGCGAAGAGGCCGCGGGCGTGCCCGTGCCACCTGCAGGCTGGCCAAAGGGCGAAGACTTTGTAGTAGTAACAGCGGCACCACTCGTGGTTGTTCCACCAGCAGGCTGACCAAACGGCGAGGCGTTGGCCCCTGCCTTGGGTGCAGCACCAAAGGGAGAGGCGGGTTTGGCTTGTTCACCCCCACCGGCTGCAGGTGTGGCCCCAAACGAGATTCCACCGCCAGCGGCTTGATTGAGGCCGGGGGCTGGGGCAGGAGGCTTCTGCGCACCAGCTAGGACCAGACAACCACGTCATTCAAAGCATGAGCAAGTCACCGATTGCTGGTTTGTAGAAATGGTCTCACACGGCCGTAAACACATACCTGTGGCTGAAGGACTGGCTCCAAAAACAAAACCGCCACCACTGCTTGGCGCGGCTGTGGATGCGGGAGCAGACGGTGCGGTGGTTGGTTTTGCCGCGTTGGTTGATGGAGCAGACGTCTGTCCAAATGGCGTGCTCCCAGCTGAGCCAGACGGCGCGGCGGGTTTGGCAGCTGAGGTACCGGCCCCAAACTTGAAGCCTGTAGACGGAGCACTGGTTGTCGCCGGGGCACTCGAGGTTGGTGCCGCAGGCTTGCCACCAAAAGAAAGATTAGAACTGGGGCTGCTTTCACTGGCAGGTCCGACCTTGAAACCTGCTGGCGCTGCACTTGACGCGGTGCTGCTTGGAGGTTGGGTTGTAGCAGTCGGCTTGCCCAGTTGCAAACCACCAAACCCAGCTCCCGATTTTGAGGGTGCTTCAGATCCACTCGCGGGTTTGAGTTGAAATCCCGAGGGCGATGCTGCGTTTCCACCGTCAGCCGACTTGCCGAAACTAAAGCCCTTGGCGGGCTCAGCTGCGCTGGCATCCGCCTTGGTGCCTCCGGAGGCTGCAGCTGAAGCTGTGGCGGATCCATCTTCAGGCTTTGCGGGTTTGGTAGAGGCTGGCAGTTGGAAGCCACTGGCTGGCGATGATGCAGCTTTTGTATCGCCAAGCTTGAAGCCATCACCGCTGCTGGCACCTGACAGTTGAAAGGGGCTGCCGGTGGCTGGCTTTTCGCTAGAGGCTTTCTTCTGCAAAGTCAAAACCAGACACGATGCAGGGAGCCGTCAGCGAGAGCAGACTGACGTAGAAGGGGGCCAAGAAAAACTGCAAGCAGATACTAAAAGAACAAAAAACAAAAAACAAACAAAAAACAAAACAAAAAACAAAACATAAAACAAACCAACCACAAAAACAAGGGCCAACTTACATCTGTAGCCGCGGCGTTGGAAGGGGCAGAGGAGGATGCTGAGAGTGGTGACGGCTTCGTGCTTGTTGTGGATGGCGCGGACGAGATGACGGCTGACACAGGCTGGACAGTTGGGCTTGCTGTTTCCTTGGTCTCACTCGGCGTTGCCTTCTTGGCGGGCGGCATTGTTGCGGCAACCTTGTCCAGCAATTCTTGGCTGGGCTTTTGCAAAGCCGCCTGATTCCGCCGTGCCTAGTAGGTCAATGTTTCGTTGTAAGCGATCATCCTCTACTCGTGTCATCTCAGTCTCCAGCCCAGACTGTATGTCCTGATATCCCTTAGGCAGTCAGTTGTCCTATCCTACTCCTTCGAGCGAACAAAACAAACCCAAAGCAAAAGAGGGCCATACCTCAACGCTGATGCTGTGGCTACGTTCGGCGTTGCTTGGTTCGCGGGAGACTGCTTGGCGCTGGGCCTCAAGAAACGAGTTTGATCGAGCTGCCACCTGGACAGTCAGGTGTGAGCGCAGGGGACGGCGTCGAGGCGTCGTGCTTGCGGGTCCGTTCTTGGGCGCAGTGGTCACACTCTTGGCAACTTCATCCAAAAGTCGTCCAACTTCATTAGCCAGAGTAAGAGCACGTTGTTGATCCTTTTCTTTCAGTCCATCCTTGTCGCCTGCATTAAGCCTCAAAGCCCCGGCTTGCTGCTTCTGTTGTTCCTGCAGAGAGTTTGAACAGGAATCAAAGAGAGCAAGAAAGAAAAAAAAAAACAAGAAAAAAAAAAAAAAAAAGCAAGACGAGATCATGGGCAAAAGACACGAGAGAAGCGTGCTTCCAATGTTTCTTCCCACACACTAGAGATAAGCCTCCATGTGCTGGGGCAATTCGTCTACTTACCCTGAGCTCAGATAGCAGTTTGCTTGCGGAGTCAGGCGCAAGGGTACCAGCTTTGACATCGCGCTGGAACTGAGTAGCCCGGGCTTGCAACTTTTCCAAAGCCGCGAAGGGAGAGGGTCCATGGCTGTGAGCAGTATCAACAGTGCTTGGCTTGCTCTTCTTGCTGGCTTGGCGCTTGGCCTCTTCGAGCTGCTCCAAGAGCTTAGTGCGGTCTGCCTCGTAGCGTTGGGCCATCTGCCGAGCCTCGTCGGACTCGGATTGTACACGCTTGGAAAGACTCTCAAAGTCACGGCGCTGAGTCGCAAGTTCGCGAGTCATCTGGGCAATACGTTCTTGCATGTGTGAATCTGTTTCCAATGCTGCACGCTTGGCAGTACCGCCGTTGGAAGGTCCTCGTTGACCACCGTCCAATTCGTCATCCATGGCTTCCAGGGCAACTGAGGCACGCGCCGCCTTGTGACGCTTATCCTCGGGAATACCAGGCGAGCTGTCCGTGATGGAATCCTCATTTCGGTTAGCCCGGCGCTTGTGCGAGCTTGCTTCAGTGGCACGAGGCAGCTTACTGGCTCGGACTGGGGCGCTGGGGCTGTCATCAGCTGCACCGGGTCGCTTGGAGCGCCAGGTTGCCGCATCCTCGGTCGCCCGCTGTGGCTGCCGCGAGGCCAAGCACACGGAATAAAAGGCACATTATGAGCGAGCATGCATCAGTGGGTCGGGGTAGGAAGGGTATTGCTTTGATAGGGTTCCCAGTCATATGAGCGTACCTCTGTGTTGCCGGCGATGCCCGGGGTGAGGGGGGCAGCAGGCTCTCGCTGCCCGCCCATAAGGTCAGCGAGCATGTTGGTGCGCGAGAGGGCCGGGCGCGAGTTTGAGTTTCGTCCAAGCGCTGCAGGATGGGTAGGATAGTCGGATGAGGAAACATCGGATCAAATGGTATGCAGCGCGTGGCCTGATGATGACAACGAACCGGGCGTCGGGTTGAGGGAAGCAGGGAGTATGACAGATTCTTGCAAGTCAAAGGGGATTTGGGGGCCCCGGGCCGGGGTGCTGGCCAATGGGGCCGATCGGGCATCCACGGCCCCTAGATCATGGGCAGGGCCCGCCGTTTGAGTACGACCCGCCGAGCGCGGTCGGCGGCGATGATTCAAAGTTGGTCTAATCCACCACCAGGTCAGGCGCAACATCACATGGCCAGGGTGAGTCGAGTAGATGAGGGCTCGAGGTAAGGCGGCCTGGTCGGAAGAAAAGGGTGGCTGTTCTGATATAGCTGGCTCACTACGCACCGGACAACATTGAGAGTGACGCCGCCAGGGAGCGCTCCCGCCACGGTCCGGGGCCGTGCCGCGGCAGCGCCTCCGTGGTTGTTGGCGGAGGTGGTGTAGGTGGCTCGGGTGATGCGGCTTCGGTTTCGGGTGTAAATCTGCCACTGATAGGCCCCGACGGGAACAGCGACAATCACTAGCAGTGCCCCGGCCACAACCATCCAACTGACACCGGCCAGATAGGCCATGCCAAAGGCGATGACGATGGCGCCAGCTGGCACAGCCAGCTTTGAGGGGTCGGCCATGCTACCTCGCGTATCGTTTGCAAATTATTAAAAAGGCCAAGGCGGGTCGGTGGCTCAAAAGAAGAAGCCTCTCTGATGAAAGAGACCTCTATCCAACACAACAATCGGACCTGGGTCCATTTGCAGCCATAGGAAGATAGAAAGCAGGGGCGGAGGAAGATAACACAGCAGCAAGGCCCACGGCAGCCAATGAGTTGCGGCGAACGGAGAGCGCACAAAGGCCTCCTTGCCAGTGTCCATCAGCGCACAACGAACCTTGTCACCACCCAAAGGCCTGGGGCGCCGGCGGTTTCCGCCACAAGCAGGAGCACAATACAGCGGCGTCAAAGCAAAAACGTGGCTTCAGACGGTCGCAGCCCACCCAGACAGCCAGGCATACGCTACGGCGACCCGAGCACAGCCCCAGCTAGCCAGGCAGCCCGACCTCCCCCCCAGGTGTTGTTGTCACGCACGCTCACACGCACGCGGATGACTTTTTGTTGGAAAGAAGGAAGGAAGAAGAAGGATGACGGTTGAGAGAGATGGAGAGAGATGGAGAGATGGAGAGAGATGGAGAGAGATGGAGAGAGAGATATAAAGTATAGAGAGATTTAGAGAGAGATATAGAGTATTATATAGAGAGATGTAGAGAGATGTAGAGAGATGTAGAGAGATGAAGAGAGATGCAGGGAGATTTAGAGAGATGTAGAGAGATGTAGAGAGATGTCGAGAGATGTACAAGGGCTCACGCTCGTTGATATCCCCCTCGAAAATATAAACCTTCATGCGGATGTTCCCGCGAAAATTTGAATTTGTCAGCTTGGCGAGATTGAAATTTTCCGTGTCGCAGCTCCTCCCCATCAGATCGTTGGATGTGTGCACTCTCTATTTTTTCCACACTCACTCTTGAGCAGCGTTGACCGTGAGATTGATTCTCCGGGGTCAAGGGTGGTGTCGACAAGTATTTTTCTTTTTTCTTTTTTTCCTTTGCATTTGTTCAGCGCCGCTTCTTCATTTGCCGACCGAAGCGGGACTTGCTGCCTGCCCTCAATTTGTTTGGAATCCAAAAACCGGGACGGCAAGGGACCAGCCATCATGTCCCTCTTTGATGATGGACCCGTCGTCGCCTTCAACATTCCCGCCCAGCCCGATGATCTGCTTGAATGCACTGAAGGCTTTGCGGTGTCGCTCTGCAGCGAGCCGAGCGAGATCTCACAACACAACCAGCTTGAGATGATTGATGGTGCGTCGCCGTGAAGTCATGGCAGCCCCCCTTCCCCGCCTGTATGTATTGGCAACAACAGACTCACATATCATTCGGCGGATACAGAGGCCGCTCAGCTGCTCGACAATCCCCTGGCCATTTGCGACAACGCCTGCTTTGATGTCCTCTTCAGCTTTGCACGGTGCGGTGGTCACACCTTCATGCTCCCCTTTTGCTCTCCAATTAGCAACGCGAAGGCCATGTCGGCCGTGTCGGATCCGCAAGATCCTCACCTCCATGTCTATGTCTGTGTGTCTCTCCATCTCTCCAGCTCGTTTGAAACCCTCGAGGCTCCTGTTCGAGCCAAGCTCTTCGCCTCTCTCCTCAAAGGCACGTCACTTGCCGACTACCTGGTGGAAGAAATGTTTGCATGCAGTGTCTAGGAACACTGTCTCACCACGCCACTGTCTGATAATAATACACAATTTATAGGCATGCAAAGCCTGGGTCGTGCCCTAAAGACAGAGTTGCCTGATCTGACGGCCGCTTCTGGTCCGGCTCGTCGTGCTATTGCTGCGACCGAGATGATCAGCTATCTCTTTGGTCTCATTGCTGTGACAGCCGAGCGCGAGGAGGCACAGGCGAATCGCCAGACGCTGCAAACCGCCGGCAAAAAAACCAAGAAAGCTCTGCCAGCTGTAGCCCAGGGCGAATTTTCCTGGGCACATGCCCGCAGCCAGGCCTATGGTGTCGTTGCGCAGTTGCTGGAGCTTGAACTGCCCAAGCTCTGGTCCATGTCTTGTCCCGACGAAGCCTTTGTCAAGTACGGTCCAGGGCTTGACACTCCAAATGAAACTTGGTCTTTTTTTTTTTTTTTTTTTTTTTTTTTCTTTTTTTGGCCCCCTGGGGTTGTTGTTGTGCCCCACCTCCTTTCGTGTCGACAATTTCCTACCCTATTGTTTTTATAGTTTTGTTTGATATGGCGCGCCGGGTTTTCAAGTCCTTGCTTTGCTCACACGCGCGTGGGGTGCTGCTCCTTTTCTACGCCATAGTCTTTTCACGCGGGTGCTCTATTTGGCTCTTGAGAATCCGGAAGTGGTCAAGGACAAGGACCTGCGACAAGACATATTCGAAATGCTGGGCCGCTTGGTGCAGGCCTACAACCACACCCTGGGCGCATGCACCACCATCGTGCACATGCTGCCCCACTTTGAACACCTTTCAGAACCTTTTGCTGACCTGGTGACCCTCTGCAGCACCAAGTACAACTCTCCTCGCGTGACCCAAGATGTCTTGCACGAGCTCAGTCACATTGATGGCTCAGATTTTGGCAATGACAACAGTGCCGCACGCGCCTATGCCGTGTTTCTCGTCGCGGTGGGTCAGCAGCAGCCCGGGATTTGTGTGCAAGCCGTGCACCAACTGGCCGAGCTATTGGAGAACGAGGCCTACAGTCTACGAAACGCCGTGCTCAGCATGCTGAGTGCCATCCTCAGTCAGCATCTCAAGTCGCTTCAAGATGAAGAATCAGTCAAGACGCGCACTCAGCTTCTCAACATGCTGGTCGAGCGCATCAATGACGTGTCCGCTTACACGCGCAAAGCAGCCCTATCGGCCTTGACCGATCTGGCCATGGCTCGTGCCATTCCACTGCAGCACATCCAGGCAGCCACTGATGCTGCCATTCTTCGCATTGAAGACAAGTCGTCTCTGGTCCGCAAGCAGGCCCTTCATCTGGCCGTGGAACTCATGCGACAAAACCCTTTTGGTGCCAAGGTGTGTGTGTGTGTGTGTGTGTGTGTGTGTGTGTGTGCGTGCGCCGCCTTCGAAAACCCCTTGTTGTTCATGTCACTGCCTTGGCACTCGGATTCCCGCCCTTCCTCACCCCTGTCTTCTGCAATAACAGCTCTGCGCACAAGACTTTCGAAACGCATTGGCTGAAGCCAAGTCCAAGCTCGAGCACTTGTGCGGCGTTACGTCATCCTCAAGCGGGGAACAAAAACCATCAATCAAAACCGAGCCCACAGCCAGTGACACAACTACCTCTGCCAACACCGACGAGGGCGCAGACGAGCTTGCTGAGATGTCCACCATCAGCAGCGCTCAGGATGAAACAACGTCCGAGGCGGATGGCCTGGATCTTGTTGTAGAGACACAGGAGCAGCGGGAACAGCTGGTTGTCGTGGACTTCCTGCGTCGGGCCGTGGCAATGACCGAAGCTCTCTCTCCGGCCCTTAGAGTTGCGGCCCAATTGCTCGGGTCAAAGACCAACAGCGATGTGCTCGAGGCCATTACTTTTTTCGTAACCGCCGTTCAATTTGGCGTCGACGATGCCGACCGCATGGCCCACAAGATGCTCGTCCTCATTTGGAGCAAGGAGAATGGCGTCAAGCAGGCCGTCTTGGATGCTTATCGAACACTCTACTTCACCCCGGATCCGGCCATCCACAACACCGCAAAGGTCTGTCATAAGACCAAGCATGCCCCTCTTTGACTCTGCTTTGTCACACACGCTAATGTTGACTGCGCACTCCCACAGGCGCGCAGCTGCTTTGTGGTGGATAACTTGATCCGCATGACCTCTGTGGCCGACATTGGTGACGGCAAGTGCCTTGAGGAGCTGGTGCAAACCATGATGAAGGAGGGCGTTCTCACGGACAGTGTCGTCAAGCAACTCTGGGACACATATGCCCGTGCGCCTGAAGCCAGCCAGGATGCAGAGCGGCTGGATCAACACACACGCGCGCGTTTTGCCATGGCCATTCTCTCCATGGCTGCTCGCGCCGATGGCAAGATCATTCGTGACAATACAGGTCTGCTCATGTCTGTCGGCTTTCCCGATCAAAGTCCCCCCGACTGCCTTCTCGCGCGTGAAACAGCCGTTGGCTTGCGCCAGCTCTTGCCACGCCAATCTGAGAAGGGGAGCATGTACGTGTTTCGCCTCCCTGCACTGCTGCCATGCGTCGTAGTGTCTCTCATCACGCACAGTCCGCGCAAACGCGTTTCAACTCTGCATAATACGGCATCTTTTGACTGGAGCTCCTGCTGGTTGGCTTGTGTCCTAGGTTGGCTCCGCAGCGCCTTGCCCGCGACCACATGGTGTTTGTGACCATGTTGACCTTCGTCCAGCGTCAATTCACAGCCAAATCCGAGGGCTGGATTCCTACCGCTGAGGCTGTTCTCGACACGGTCTACGCCCTTGGCGAGCAGCCTGATCATCTGGCTGGCTCCCTCCTCGCAGGGCTGGCTGCTCGCATGACTCAGCCTGCCGACTGCAGTCCCACTGAACGTTTGAAGCGGCTCCTCTTCCTGGTGGGGCACGTCGCGGTACGTGGCTGGTTCCTTGATGCTTATGTGTGCTTGAGCTTTGTTTGCAGGCACACTGCGCTTGTTTGACATCACATTCTCTATTACCCGATGGGAACGACAGCTGCGCCAGTTGGTGCACACTGAAGACGTGCAGTCGGAAATGAAGCGCCGCCGTGCTGCCCAGGATGATCTGCAGCAACAGGCGCGAGGAAAAAAGGTGAGCGCCATCAAAGGGCATCGCTTCCTTTCACGGAGTAGCGTGCTCCAACTCATCCGACTTTGGTTTCCAACCCCTGCCACAGAAAACGAGCGACGAGGAAGACATGGGCGTTGGCGGTGCCTCGGCCGATGATGCAGAGGCCGAGTTTATTCATCAAGTGTGCGAATCAGAGCTACTGTCGGTTCGTGATCATTTCGTTTTTCTGCAGTTGGCGTGCTTGTCTCAGCTGTAGTGCACTTGGCTGCAGTGACGTGACGAGTCCTTCTTTCATTTGCGCCTGACTGACGGTGTGTATTTAGACCCAAGCCCAACTCGGTTCCTTCTGTCAGCTTGTGGTCAACGTGTGCACGGCACCAGAGCGTTTTGCATCGGCTGAGCTGCAGGCGGTGGCTGTGACAACGCTGTCCAAGCTGATGACCGTCTCCTCGCAGTTCTGTGACGACAACCTGCAACTGTTGTTCTCAGTGGCCAAGCACTCTGCTTACCCCATCGTGCGCAGCAATGCCATGGTAGCCCTGGGTGATCTGGCTTTCCGCTTTCCAAATCTGATCGAACCGTGGACAGCGCAGCTTTACTCACCGCTGCGCGACAGCTCGGCGCGAGTGCGCAAGAACACAGTCATGGTGCTGACACATCTCATCCTCAATGACATGATCAAGATCAAGGGCCAAATCAGCGAGCTCGCCCTCTGTTTATGCGATCCCATTGAGCGCATCGGCAGCCTGACCCGTCTCTTTTTCACCGAGCTGGCCAACAAAGGCAATGCAATCTACAACATCTTGCCCGATGTTATCAGTCACATTTCCTCGCCCGACGCCAGCGTTGATGCTGCCGCCTTTGAAACCATCGCCTCCTTCCTCTTTCAATTCATCAAGAAGGTATGTCGTGCTGACTGATAACGCGGTTTCTGTTGCCTTAAGCCTGTGGCATTGCTTGGTGGATCTGACTTGTTGCGCGTATTTCGATTCCAAAGGACAAGCAGGCGGAGAGCTTGGTGGAAAAGCTCTGCCATCGCTTCCGCACGACTCAGTCGGTGGTGCAGTGGCGCCAATTTGCTTACTGTCTGACTCTGATTGACTTTTCTGACAAATGCGTGCGCAAGTTGACGGAGAATTTTGCCTGCTTCCACGACAAGCTGGGTGATGCCTCTATCTACGGGAGCTTTCAAGAGGTGATTGCACGGGCCAACAAGTTTGCCAAGCCAGAAATGAAGGATGCCATTGCCGAGCTTGAGCAGCGCATTGGTAGCTGCCATGAGAAGGTGCGATTACGCGTTGGCCTCATGTTCGTTCGCTCCCGGCCTCTCTGCCCTTGTATGACTCTTGCACTGACATCCAACTTCTTTTGACACAGGGGGCCGAGGACGAGGCTGCCTTGCAAGAAGCTGCAAAGGCCAGCAAGCGAGTTCGCCGTGGCCGCAAAACTGCAAGCACGAATGACAAGAGCATGCTTGAGGACGGGGCTGATGAAAACGCGAGTGACGCTGTGCGGAATCGCCGCTCCACACGTGGTACTGCCAAGCCGAAAGCACAACCTTCAAGGCCACGTCGCCGCCGTGCCATTTGTTCTGATGATGAGGACGATAGTGACGAAGATTTCCTAGCAGAACAATCATCTCTTTCTGCCAAGAAATTGGCGCCACGCATGGATGGGCTCTCTGATGAAGAGGAGGATTTGCTTTTGGCCATTTGAGTGAAACGTTGAACGCCAAATGGCCTGCAACCGACACCACAGGTCTCTCTTTCAGGGAATGTGTGTCAACTCGTTTGATTGTATGTGCGGCAATCTTGTTTTCGGCCTTTTGTCAATAATAAATTTGTGGCATGACCTGCACCATGCACGTGCCCAGTCTGTGTGAGTTAAGAGAAAGAAGCAAAGACAGCGAGAACAGATCGATATGACATTGTTTAGCTCAATTGATCTCATTATCATCTGCGTGTAGCTCGTCAGCACTCAAATCGTATGCACACAATGAGAAAACCCAAGAGTAAAAACCCAATCATGACGTCAACTTGTATTACTGTCCATCCGTCTCATAAATTCGGGATTTGCATCCGCCGACCAATGCCATATCCTCAGACAATTGTTAAAAGTAAGCATTGTGGATCTGGCAAGCCTCACGAACCAGATCACCGTGCGAGGCAAAGAGGTTAAGACCGCTGTGTGCCATGAGCCATTGGATGCGCTTGACATGCTCTTGATTTTCCTTAAAGTGCAAACGCTTGGTCAGCTCGCCCGTCTCGTCGTGGAAGTTGGCGCAAGACACCTCCACCCACGCGTTGTCTGTATTGCGTGGGTCGTGAGAGTACACCGAGCGCATGGTGTGCGCCGAGTCGAAAAGCTGGAACAATTCCATGTAATGCAGCAAGAAGCCCATGAGCGTCGGTCACAGTCAGCAGAGAAGAATGCCCTTTTTTCTGCAGGGATAAAAAGGATAAGTATACATGCACACATGCACACATACATACCTCTTCAAGGTTGTCAACCTCCACTTGTGTCAGCTTGTCCTGTTGATAAATCTGAGTTGATGCCCGAAGCGACGACGAGCAGCGAGTCAGCCAACAGCCGAGAAGTGGCAACATCGTATCAACCCAGGCTCAAGCTTCGTTGATAAGCATGCTAGCAATGACCTCTGACATACCTCATGCTTTAGCAGGCGCTCAAGCGCGCCACGGCGGTCCTCCGCGTCGTTCCGGAATCCACCCGGCAATGCCCAGCCTACTCGAAATCGCAGCATGAATGCGAATCTTGAAAAGCGCGCTAAAATTCAGCAAGCAGCATTTTGCGAGTCGCACAGCCCACATACCTCCAAAGCTTTGCCGTTCAATGGCTAGGAACTCGAGAACACAGCGACCATCACGTTCGACCAGATTGCCGTGCACATCGCGACGCCAGCGGGTAATGAGGCAATTTGCCGCCCAATTCGGACCCCAGCGTCCGAGAGAGCCTCGGCCTGACAAGCCGGTGCGACCATAAGGATTGATGGGGCGCCCAGTGGCCGAGTCCACGACCACTTTCATGGTTGAGGTGCGATCGGTCGAAAAGCTGTCTCCTTGCATTTCCACTTTGTTGAAACCGTATTTGCGTGGGTCTGGGCCGTCTGCCCACTCTGGGCGTGGCTCTTTGAGGAGTTCTTCGGCTGTGTAATCTGGGGGATTGTAGTTGCTCATGCTTGTCGTCCAAGGCACTTGGTCATTGTTTAACGCAAGCCGCAGCTGCTCACTCTCCGGGTACTTCAACGGTGGGAATCGGTATTGAACAGCACGCACGCGACCCAGCGACATGCGCCGAAAGGCATTGGGCGCCGCAGACTGAGCGCGCGTGGCAGGTCGAGTGGCAGGAAGATCACGCTCACGGCCCTGACGATTCAAGCTCATCTATGCCACACAAAAGTAAAGCGGGTCAGGAAATTTGCTACAGAATGTGGTCGCCAACGCACAGAGGTTGGAATCAAGAGGCATGGAGCGTGCATACCTGCATCATCACCAATTTCTCTTGCATCTCTCCAATCACGTCTAGAAGGTTGGTATTTTGCTTGCGGACTGCTGCCATCAGCTCTTCTGGCGTATCGTCGTTACGGTGACGCCGGTCGGCGAGAAATCTAAAATGCCAATAGTACCAAGAGGATCGTCAGAGGGAAGCTCAAGACTATGGTTGGCATCACCCATGTGCTACACGTCTAAGAGCCAAGCTTGACACTGACTTGTCAGTGTGCCACTCTTGAAAATGGCGGATGCGGGCAAGCTCTTCGTTGTTGGTCGAGCTATACTCATCCTGAGGCTTGCAGCACAGGCACATTCGCGCCAGCGTCCAGACGTGGGAGAAAAAAGCCAACGGCCCCGGAAGCACCGTACGGGTGTGATACTCATTGTAGACGTCAAAATTTTGGCTGTGCCACAGCTCACGCGCCTCTTCATTGACGCGCTGATATGTGTCGGCAAACATGGCGACTACAAGGGCATAACATACCAAGTGAGATTACATTAAAAGCCTTTTTGCCCCCCGGTCATGCAGTCGATTACGCCTCCCAAACGTACTCAAGAGATTGATAAGCACAATATTCGTGACCAAGATGTAAAGCGCCAACAGCGGCGGCAAAACCCAGGCATACTACATTGGAAAGCGAGCAGGAATCAAGTGAGGCATGTACCAGAATGCGGTTCTAGGAATGGCTGTTAAACAAGGTGCTTGAAGAGGGGTCGTTTTATTTACAGGGAACAAAACAAGCAAAAATCAAGCAAGCAAACTGCAGACAAGCATAAACGCTTGGCTCCTTAGGCCGCCGACACCAAAAACACGGACACAGGCACGGGAGACACAAGTGCACGCTCCCTATAACACAGAACACGCCAATAGAAGAAACAGCTTGTACGAACCGTGTAGCCACAGGAGGAAAATGGTTCAGGCCCGACGCAGTCACTTTCAGCATTCATTTCTTCCAGAAAGAGCTCGCCTACCCACACACACAGGCATTAGCGCCAGCATGAACGTTCAAAAACAATGAATCGGTTTCTCACTCGACGCAAAACCACGCACCATAGATTTGGAAGTAGGGGCGATACAACACATTTTCAAAGGTCTGAGCATCGACATCGCGTTGAGGCCACAGGATCGACTGGGCTGCGACACCATAGCCTAAAAAACAAAACAAAACAAAATAAATAAATAAGAGCAGGTCCATGCAATGTTATGACGGAGATTCATCAAGGAAAGAACTGTGGAGGGTGGGTTACAAGGTCAGGCGGTGTGGCACCGCGCGCTGAGCCCCGACAACGTACTGAAGATGAAGACGGCAATGATGAACACGAAAACGATGACGTCTCGCGTCATGCGAAACAGCATGATCAACTATGTTACGCGGTGCGGGTGTCAGCATGTGAGCACAAGTTAAATCGTCCGCGCAAAACGGCATGGCATCCGCACCTTGGGTCCAACGTCCTTGGAAACGGCATAGTAGCGCATGAAACGCAACCAAAGGATGAGGACGACAAAGGCAATGAAGAGCTTGGCGTTTGTTTTGGACTGGAAATCCGACAAATTGGAGATGCGAACGACAAGGGCCAAGTAGTAGCCTGCCAACATGATCGTGTCGATGATATTCCATATGCTGCCAAAGTATCGAGGCAGCTCATTGATCTCAACATACTCGATGATTTCGGCCAAAGTGATGGTGACAAACCAAAAGAGGATCAGGTATTCGTAAAACGAGAAATAGTCCTCCAGGGTGTTGAGTGCGTAGTACGAGACCAGCAGGGTCAGCATCAGGTGGGCAAGGCAGTCGGAGATGAACTTGACAAAGGGAGATGAGTAAAAAGCTTTGGCCTTGATCCACAGCTCGGCGGCATTGAGGTGACCAGTTTTCTCAACGTGTTTGTTGTAGTTGTTGACGTAAGTGAGCAGGGACTGGTTGGACTTGACGCTCTGCGTGCGGGCGCTGGCCATGCTTGTGACGGTGTTAGTGCGATTGGGTCGGCTTTCAGTGCTGGGCAGAGCTGCAAGAGCATTCTGATCGCCTTGAATCGCGTAGCCCTCCACTTTGGTGTCCTCAAAATCAAGGTCAAGCACGCCGTCGTTGACATCATCCTGCCGAAAAACAAAACAAGAACAAAGGTTGAGATTCAACACCCGACCCGCCCAAGATGTACGAGCGGTGTCGTCATGACCAAACACGAAGCAGGAGGTGGTCCTGAAATGAAAATGACACAAAACTTACCCGTCGAATGCGAACCGTCGGGATGAGAAGAGGGCAGAACAGGGCCAAGAGGAGCTGCCACGTTGGGTTGATCTCGCGAATGTCACCATACCAAGCCTGGCTAACAAGTGACTGCGTCGCTGGATGGGACAGGAATCGCAGTTTTTCGTGACGATAGGCAACTTCCATAATGTTCCTGCCACCAAAGACATCCAGCTAGCATCGGCCATGGGTGGATGAGTTGAGAGGCTTGATGTCAGGCTTGATTCACATCAAAAGAGCCTGACCTTTTCGTGCAGGATTTTCGAAGTGCGTGTCAGGTTGGCCCGGTGACAGGTAGAGAGAACGCCAACGGCCAGCTCCTCAAGTTTGTCCGCGTTGTGAAGCGCTTTGACACGCTCCGTTTCCAAATGTGGGCTTGAGAGGGCCTGTTGTCAAGGGGTACAATCCACAAGACACGGTGAGAGAAATGATGCCATTATGTAGGAAGTTAGAGACTGAGGGGCGCGATCATACATACGCGGTGCCGAGCCAGCTTGGAGAGGATGTTTGAGCCGATCAAGGCATTGGCAATGCTCTCATCGCCCATCTGCCAGAAAATTTCGCTGAGGCGGTACTTGTTGAGGCACACAGCCCACAGCTAGGAGAGGCATGACACAATTCATAGGGTCCATGAGCAAGGAGCGAAAATGCAGGAGCGGTGTAAGGCGGGCCCGAGCGTACGAAAAGCATGTTCATGGCCATCATTTCCAATGCCAACTCGTCTTCTGGGCTTGTGACACCGTCATCAAGCAAGCTCCAGTCTCGTTGAATTCTAAAAAATAAAAGCGGGGGGTGGGGGAGGATCAGCGACGTTGATTTGAGACACCAATTACTCCAGCAGAGTGAACAAGCCTTTTGGCGGAGAGCGTGCCGGACATACTGGACTTCTGATCCAGCCAAATGGCCAAGAATAGCTTCCATGAACTTGAGCCGAAAGGGACGCCCGGGCTCCTTGTGCGGCTTGGCAGCATTCAGCGAGGTGCTACGCTCACGTAGACGATACACGTGGCCTGAAATGACCCCTCCCGCCACCTATGGGAATATTGGACATGCGGCCAACCAGCGGTTGGCATAGTCAGATAATGTGAGGCAGGAGCGTCAATGGTGTGTGGCCAACTAAACCCCAGTTGCATCCACTCACAAAATAAAGCTGCTCCATAGCCAACAGAAGCAGGTGCTCGCCACAGAGGGTATTGCTGTTGCGGGCAGGGCCACTCATGTTCTGGGCAATGCGAACAGTATTGGCAACGCTGTTCAAGGTGGTTCGGGTTTGAACGTCATCGGCAGCTTTGCCTGAGCTGTCAAGGGGCGTTAGAGCGGTGGCGTGCCGCGAAAGACCAGCACGAGCGCCCTCGGGGTTTGAGCTGACGCTCTTGTTCAAGTTGGTGCGCTTGATCAGGTTTGCATCAGACCTGAGCTCCATCAAATAGGCCTTGAACTCTGGCGTGGGTTGCAACTACAACCAAGTTTCCGTGAGCATGTGGGAAGGAGCACATGCATGTGTGTATCTTGGCCTTGGGGATGCAAACCTACATTTCGCGCGGTTGCACCATACTCAAGATAGAGTTGAACAAAGTGGGGCATGTTGTTCATGAGAGCCTCCATCAGGTTCGTATTGAGAGCCTCGGCAATGTCTTCTTCGCTCTCAAGCAAATGATTGTCATGAATCTCCGCCAACAATCGGCGGGCCATATCAATACGATCAAAGCTCATGGCTACCAAGGTGAATGCACAGCCAGTCGGCATGAGTGGGACGCAATCAAAAGCCGGGAACACGAGCGCACTGACATGCAGAGCTTTGACAAAATACAGCATGCTTGGGCGTATGACTGTACCTTGCAACAATTTGGTCTTGAATGAGACATGTGAGCCTTGGGAGATGGCGTCCAGGATGACTTCATCAATATTTTCACCAGCACTATCGCGGATGTTGTAAACAAACATCTGCATCCGTTGGAGAGCAAGTGATCGAGGCAAAGGTGGGACGACGCGTCAGCCAGGTTGGTGCGTCGGTTTCTTGATGGACGGCAAGAACTCTGCGTTTCACCACGGACGGACCTTGTCCTTGTAGACTACAGTCGCAAACAGCTTGTGCATGGTGTTTTCAACCTTCTGCTCATCCTGTCAGCAACATTGCACAAGCACATAACCCCAGTGATATGAGAATTCAACCATCCTGTTGTGGACACTGTCACTGCTACTGCCTCGCCAATTCGTCTTGGTCTCGTACCCAGTCTGGAAATTCACCCCGAATTTGCTGTCGCAGTGCTTCGACCGAGTAGGTGCTGTACCGCGTCCTGTTCGGCAGTCCACCCAAGAGGGAATGAGAGAATGAGAATGAGAGAATGAGAGAATGAGAGCAGAGAGCAAAAAGGAGAGGAGAGAGGAGAGAGATGCATGCAAGGAGAGCAAGGCGAAGAAGGCGACGCAACAACGCAGATGACTGCAGGATCAAGCGGATTCAAAGGATTGACAAAGGCTGGTGCAAGAAATGCTCGCTACGTACAAAGTTGAGTGGGTGAAATTGTACGCATAGGCAAGCAGGTCTGCCACCATGCCTGTCCCATCAATCACGACCACAGGCGTCCCAGACACGACAGCGTCATGTGCTTGCTGCAGCGTGCCCACGCCACCTTGAATTACGAGGAGAACGACTGGGCATTCAAACATTCGGCTGGCCTCCTAGTACCAGGGATCGTGGAAAAGAGCAGGCAGAAACACATGGCATCAAGGAACAGAGCTTTGTAGGCAAGAGTTGGGCACTGAGGGCACGGTCGTACCCGCTCAAAGGCGGCGCGAAAGGCGATTTCGCCACCAAATTTAGAGTCGGTGCCGTCATCAACCAGCAGAAAGAGGTTATGACCACTGTCAAGGTTGCACTTTGAACCCTTCGCCTCGGGTACTTTGTTCATGGCGTATTCAACATCGAGGCGGTCTTCTCGATTCGGCTGCGGTAGCAGAGCCTCGTGAGCAAACGAATAGTTTTACAGACAGAAAGAAAGCAAGAAGGATGAACAAGTAAGACGAAGAAGAAGAAAAAGAAAAAGAAGAAGACAAACCTGAGCCAACTTTTCAGCCTCGTGAACAATGCCCCAGGTGGCGATGCCAATGGTAGGGATGAATCTGGAAAGAAAAAAAAAAAAGGCAAACGAAAATCGCCACAGCACACACACACATGATCATGAGCCGTCAAGAAGCAAGAGTATCGCGAGGCGAATGTGAGCTGCTGGATGAGGTGCAGGGATGAAGTACAATGCACGAACTTGTCCTTGTTGAGATCATTCATAAAATCGCCGACGAGCTTCATGACACCGGTGTTGGTACCACCGGTGATGACCCAGGCATCGGTGGCAGCGGCGGCACGCATGATGCCTGTGCGGATGGCTTCAATCAGCAACGGTGAAAGATGGAAGCTTTTGGCGCCGCCAGTCACCGAGATGATCAGGTTCGGGCGCGTACTATTGCAAGGGGGAGGAAAATGTCAAGTCGTGAGAGTGTGATGGCGCATCGTGATTATGAGCGCATCCGGCAAGGGGACGCACTGGCCAAAATGATCGAGGCGCATGCGACTGCAGAGCTGGGAGAAGAAGACGGCATGCTTGACCGTTTTCTCGCTTTGGACTGTGGCTGGGGTGCGGTAAGCCAGGCGCAGGTACGGTACTGCCTGCTTCTGAAAGCCGTGCGTTTTGAACTGCAAGGTGCCGTAGTGGGTGTCAGGACAAAGTGTCGTGGAGCGGGATTCTCCTTGCGTGCCCTCTGCTGCGGGCTTTTGATAGGAGCGGAATACTTTGAAAAACGAGCTCATTGGCACCGGCTCGATGGGGTTGCCAACCTGTACAAGGCAAGAGACGCATTTTGTTTGAGTGCTGGTCGAGGATAATCCTTGCGAGTCGAAAAAGCAAGAGCCTACCTGGCGCACGGCTGTGGTGAAGAACATGTTCTTGAAGCGTTGGCTGGCCTCGGATTTGGGTGCTGGCGCCACAGCCCCACGGCTAGCGCGTGGGCTTCGCGCCATGGCTGAGTGCTGCCGTGACGATGACAAGATCAGGCTGTGAGACAACGATGCGCCAGCCCGCAATGTCAAAGATGCCACCAACCACACGGACTGACCTCTGTGTGTCGCATCATGGTGCCGATGGTCGGCGGCAGTCACCAAGGCCACAACGGCCCATAAACGCTGCCTCAACCACAACGGGCCCCTCGTCCCGCGACCTGTATCTTGAAGTTCTGGGATCGGTCCTGGAAGCAGGTTCGGTCAACTGTCGCCCCTTCTCTCTGTCCGATCACGTTGTCAAGTTCATGAGCATTTTGTTTTTTTTCACACATGATGATGAAAAGAGAGAGAGAATAGTGAGAGTTTGAGTTTGAGAGAGTTTTTGAGAGAGAGTTTGAGAGAGAGTGTGTGTGTTTGAGAGAGTTTGAGAGAGAGAGTGTGTGTGTTTGAGAGAGTTTGAGAGAGAGAGAGTGTGTGTTTGAGAGAGTTTGAGAGAGAGAGTTTGAGAGAGTTAGAGAGAGTTAGAGTTTGAGAGAGAAGTCAGCCGAGCTCAACATGGTTGGTTATGGTAGATCAACAACAAAGCATGGGGGACAAAATGCAGCACACAAACAAAAAGTAGCATCGCGTTTGGTTGGTAGGGCTCGTCCATGAGATATCTCTCGTGTCCTCTGTGGTGTGTGCCCCCTGGTGTGTGAGTGTGAGTGTGTGTGTGTGTGTGTGTGTGTGTGTGTGTGTGTGTGTGTGTGTGTGTGTGTGTGTGTGTGTCTGTGTGTGTGTGTGTGTGTGTGTGTGTGTGTGTGTGTGTGTGTGTGTGTGTCGCTCATCTGATTGACATGACATCTGAAATTTTCAGTCCTTCGGACATCAAACACTTTGCGGCAGTTGCAAAGTTTGCACACGCACGGTAACCTCGAAGCGCATTGAAAGTCGGCTTTAATCTCAGAATTCCCAACGTTTCCGTCGAGCAATCATCAGCCTTAACCCTGCTGTCAAGCGCATTATTTTCATACAGTGCTGTGCGGCGCACCCCACCAACCTGGCTGGTCGGCTGGGCAGTAGCTGATAGACTGACATAACATGATTATTATTTTTATGATCGAAAAAGGGTAGATTTGGAGCAACAATGTGATCAAAAGTGCAAGAGCCCCATCCCTCTGGGAATATTATGACACAAGGCACGGTGTAGCAGAGCCACTCAGGACAAGAACACGAAAAGGAAAGGAGGCGTGTGCGGCCCGATAGTCATTCGTCTCTACGCCGAGGGCCAGACGCACATGACTGAGAGCCGGCCGTGCAATGACACCAACACGCCCGGGCATGTAATGTCAGCGTGGGGCTCCTGACTCAAGACACCACCGCACCAGGCGGAAAAGCATACAAACCAGCGACAACACGCTAAAAGACCGTGGCACGCGTTTCATGCCTCTAGCCAGATTTGCACCATATCCAAACAACTTCAATCACAATGGCACATCATACATGTCAATCAGAAAGGAAGAAAAGGCTCTGAGCGAGGGCCACGCTCAAGCGGCGGCTTGTTCTTCTTGCAGTGCGGCCCGAGTCTTGCTCGTGCCACTGGCAGCCCACTTGGCATCGTCATCCTCCAAACGGACACCGATGGTGCTCGCCACATAGTCGCAAAACTCCTTGAACAAAATCTTGCCTCCGCCATTCTGATCTGCGTCTGCAAAAGCAGCTGCCGCCTCCTCTTGGTTCACGGGACAACCCAGCTTCTGGAGTCCCCGTGTAAATTCATCCTGGTCAATGCGTCGATCATCATCCGCATCCAGGTCATCAAAGGCGTCCCACAGCTTGCCAAAGAGGAGAATGTTGCGCAACAAAGCACGGAACTCGCGACGCTCGACCCAGGCGTCGTTGTTGACGCCATCCACAAGCGTTGTCTTCTTGTATGCCCGCAAGAGCGCCGGCTTGGCCACCTCCAGGCCTCGCTCCGTGACTAACTTGTCAATCTCGGCCAGAGAGCAGCCACCGTTGCCATTAAAGTCACATTGACGCCACAGCGCTGTCAGTTGATTCGGGTCATTCAAAGCGTGCAGCAATTCCTTGTTACTGGCATCACGCTCGAAGATACGGCTAAGAGCCTCCTTCATCGTGCTGGCTGGGGCTGTGCTTGCGACACCGGGTTCGGCAGCAGCAGCAGCAGCAGCGGTGGAAGCTGAAGCCTTGGTGGGCTGCTTGGCCTCGGTGGCTTGTCCCGAGGCCTCAAAATCACCATGTCGGCCATGTGCCTGCGCATGGCCGGGCTTGGGATAACGCGCAATCTGACCCTGCAGCCGACGTGATTGATCATAGTCTCGCTCCCACTTGTGACGGTCATAGTGTGGCGCCTTGGAAGAGATGCGCTTCAGAATGGCCTGGTTCTCATGCGTGATACGCAGAAGATCCTGTTCGCGCTTGGCCTTGTTCAAACTACGTACACGGTGACCAAGCCCAAGTAGCAAAAGACAAGCGAACAGACCCAGGTGTAAGCGCATCGCGAGCCAAGAGTGTGCACGCTACCAGGTCAAACAGACACAGCGCAAAACGATGATCCAACCGAGGGCGCGCCAACAACCCTCGGCCAAGCTCACGGGCGACAAAAATAGCAAAAGAAAAACAGAACAACAAACAAAGTTGCGACTACAACCACCAATCTGATTCATCAACACACCTCTTGTGGGAATAGTCGTTGTGGTTGTCAACGCGACCTGTGGTACGCATGATCGTAGACATTTTTTCCAACAACATGCGGTTGTCGCGCTCCACGGTGGCCATGCGTTCCTCCTCCAGCTAGACACGGAGCCGCACCAGCCGCGGCACAGAGGATGAGGGATCAGATGACCCAAGTAAGAGGGGACAACGACAGGTCTCATTGGCACAGCATACCTGAAGTTTCTTCAACTTGAGCTGTAGGTGCATGTAGGTTTTGGGTGGTTTGTTGTCAACCGTGGCCTTGGTATTGCGAAGCTGCCGAGGCACGGGAATAAAATGAACGAAATTGAGGCAATTCGAACCAGTGTAAAGCTAGACTAAACACACTCGGAACGTCTGCACTCCGCTTGGGCTGACATCCGCTGCGAACCTTTTTCTGATGCTTGGAGTAAGCCGAGTCATCCCAGCGCTTGGCTAGCATGCGGCTAGCTGCCGGCTTGATTGGCTGATATGCCCGATGGTCAGCCATGCTGTGCGATGAAATGGTGACTCTCGGCCAAAAACAACAACAACAACAACAACAAATTTTTTTTTCTAAACACGTAAAAGAGCACTGTGTAAGGCGAGCTGCCACCGGACAACGCGACCGCGAACCACAACGCGCCAAAAGCTGCGACCGTACCGGCCTTGCGCGCGTACGAGTGGGCCAAAATATTTGTACGGGGTCTCCTCAAACCCTGCTCGTGCAAACAGGATCGCGAGGAGCCAACGCTCTGCTCTGCACAAGCACCCACGTCCGTCGAGCTGAAGCCGCAAGCCAACAAAAGAGAGAAAGAGAGAGAGAGAGAGAGAGATGAAGACGAGGCACCAGAAGTCGAGCGCAGAAGGTCCGACCGGGACCCGAGGCAGAAATGGAAAACGACAGAGAGAGAGAGCGGATGCGAAGATGCACAGAGAAAAGGGTATCCAAGGGAATCATCTTTCTATCAGTGGGACGTGAATTTTAGGCTGAAACCTATTGGTAAAACCAGCCACGTCAAGGAATAATCTGACAAAACAGCACGACAACTTTAGCCGGGTGCGGCGATCGTGTCCATGAATTGTCAGATTATCGGACCGTTGCGTTCGGCGAGCTGACCATCGAGATGGAACGGCACCGACTCGAGCACACCTATCAGGAGGCGTACGCAGAGCTGGAGGCGTTGCAGGAGGAGCCACGGGTCGAGGACCGTCTTGATCGTCTCAATGCGCTGCTGGCGCATGTTAGCACTCAACCGCTGGGCGAGAAGCTCCTGCTCGATTTGTGGCGTGATGGTTTGGCCGCGTGTTGCGAGGCCTGCCTGACCACCGTCAGCCATGGGCAGCCCAATGCCCTCGAGGGCCAGGTCACCCTCGCCGCTTTCTTGATTAACTTGCTTCCAGATCTACCGTCCTCGGATCGTGACATTCGAGGTCTTTGCCTGGTGAGTTTATGCCCTGCTTTTTGCCCTTCGCTTCTTCTTTCGAGCCGAGTCGAGCTGGGCTCAGACGCACCTCTCACCCGGCACAGATCGGACTTGCTGTTTGCCAAGTGCTCATTCACCTGGTTAATGTAGTCCTTGCTAGCTTTTGCTCTTGATTTACAGCATCAATGCACCGCCTTTTTGACAACAGTGTGGGATCGATCCACCAGCCAGCGCCGCCTTGGCTGGTTCAAAGCCCACCTTCACATGTTGCTGGCAAACATTCAGACCCACGCCGGGCTCATCCCGGCGCTCTGGACATCCCCTTTTATACTTCAATTACTTGTCGAGGACACGGCCAACTTGCTTTCGGCCAACAGCTCTCGAACCACCGACGCTAGTCCGGCCAGTGATTCAGACTCTGATGCCGACCACGAGCCGCGCAATCCGGCGCCCTCAAGCTCGGAAGAACAAGCCTTGGTGGCAGCCCTCACCTGCCACACGCTGTACTTTGTGCGTGGCCTAATCAGCCACTACCAGGACGTGGCCAACGATCCTCTACCCTTTGAGTCGTCCCAGGCCCTTGTCTACGAACTCATGTTTCGCATCGTCCAATCCCTGCCCAGCCTCTCTTCCCAGGTATGCCCATGCTCATCCGCCGCACTTTGAATGGTCTCAATCTGGAAAGCACGCGTGCTTGTGTATGAGCGTGGGTGTGTTGACCCACTTGCCCTGCGGATTCTAGGAGTCGAGCATCAGCGCAGCAGACATTGACGTGCTCCGCACACTGGCTGCCCTGGCTCTCCACGATCAGCGAGTTCAGCTCGAGCTACGGTACATTGAGCCCCCCTGCTTCCAGATGGGCGACCCACCACACTTGACTCTTGGCCCTGCCTCCTTGTCCTTTTCTCGCTACTCTTCTTCCTTTGTGTCACTCGCCGTGAGGCTAGGCAAACCCCGGGCTTCCAGGGCGCATTACGACGGTGGCACATTCAGGCACAGGCCCGGCCTGACCGCCAGCTGCTCGAAGCCGTTGAGGCCCTCCTGCACATGCTGGGAGCCAACGCAACCGGTCGGCTAACATGCTGCATCACTTGCATCTCATTGGCCGAGCCCAGCCCTCACGCCGCACATCTGCTTTTGCTTCAGCCCTAGAAGCCATGCGTCTACAGCCCGTGCACCTGACATCCCACTATCACCGCGTCCAAGCGGCAACGCGGTCCGTTCACCTAAATTATTTGGGTAGCGCTTTGTTGCCGCAGCTAGATTGGCTTCAACAGTCCAATTGTTCCTCGGCTCACATGTGCGCGTCCGACTTTGCGCCGTCGTCATAGCATTCAAGCTTGGTACCGCGGCTATCGATCACGGCGAACCTGGCGCCGGGCGACAGCTGGGGTGACGGCTCTGCAGCGTATTTGGCGCGCACGCCGAACATGCCAGCAACATCGCTCCGCGCAACAAAAGCAAGCTTCAATGGCAATGCACGTCGAGGCTGCGAGCTATCGAAAGCTGTGGGCCACCGAGCGCGAGCAGCGCGCTCAGCGAATCCGGTACGCCTACCTTCTCGGTTGCATCACGAGGCACTGCCCCTCCTCACCTACCCAGACCTCGCCTAACGCAAAATTTGGCCCGTTAACTCAACCGTGCGCCCACATCATGTAGGGGCTTGACGGGCGAAGAGGCGCAGTGCTTTTTGAACGAGGCGCGTGGCAATGACCCAAACTTTTCGTTTATCGTGCTATGGGGGGGGGGGGGGGGGGCAAGTTTGCTGCATTCTGCCTGCTTTGCTACGCGTGTCTTAATTCTCGATTCTTTGCGGATGAATCACTTTAGCTGATGCATAACGCCGCTCTTTGCCTCCAACGGTGGTGGCGTGGTCGTTGCGCACGGGTTGCTTACCAACATCAACAAAGCTGGATCAAGACCGTCAAGGCTGCCACATTGTTGCAGCGCGTGGCACGGGGTTGGCTCACTCGCCGACAAATAACTCCTCTGCTTAATCGTCAAAGGCGTGAAGCAGCCGGAGCTCAACGCTTCGCACAGGGTGCGCGAGAACAGCTCAAACGAGCCATTGAGACTCTGCGCGTTTCAGATGCAGCGCGGCCAGAGCTACAGAATCAGTTGGATGCATGGCGGGAGCAGCACCTGGTTGATGTGACTAGCTTATCTGATGCGGAGCTTCTGTTGCGCCTGCGGCAGCAACAAGACGCCTTTCGAGGCTTTCTCGTCAATACCCGAGCAGCTGCCCGCGCAACGCACAAGCGACATGCCTTGGTGCAACGGGTTAAGGTGCTGCGGCAAGCCCTGAATCACGCGTCGGCCGGCTTGGAGGAAACCAAGCAGACCCCTTTGCGCGACCTGGTTCACCAGCCATCGGCTCTGGCCGAGGCACGCCACCGTCACCTTGAACAGATGCAGCGTATCGTTGATCCATGGTGGGCTCGCTTGCGCAGTGACACCGCCCGCGACCAGGATCGCCTGCAACGCATCCTAGCCAACGTGCCAGGGCGCTCAATGTCTCAGCCCGTGCCCCACTCGATGAGTTGATACATGCGAGCAGTCATGGTATTTAACGTGTGGACACCAAAATGTGAGTGAGCGTGTAAATAGTGCTGAGCAGGTGGCCTGGACGTCTTTAATTCCGACTTGATTGAATTTGAAATTGAAATTGTAGTAGCCAGCACTTTGGGGGACCTCTTCAGGTGGACAACAGCTGCGGTTGTCCAAAAGTCAAAAGCAGGGTGCCGCTGATGACAGCACCCGGTTGGCTCAGTGCTTGAGACAGGTGCCTTTGTTCCGCTGGGCGAGGTGAAAGAGAATAAAAACATGATTCGATAGCAGAGGGGGTGACAATTGGGTCGTGTCTTTATTCGGGCAGCCCAGCAGCTCGTCGCATTTCCCGCAGCACGCTCTCCTCCAGGGTGAGTACAGAGGGGCGGTAGGTTTCGCGTGCCACAACTTCAGCACTTGTGTCCAAAGGCGTATCTGGGAAGAACAACATGCAGGGTTGCGTCAGCTTGGGGCAGCGCTGGGAGGCCCAAGAGCTACGCATCATCACACGGATGGCGTTTCGAACAAGGGGCCACGGGCTCGGCCTTTGTTGACAAGTACCTTTGTAGGTGAGAGGGCTAATGCCGTCACGACGCTCCCAGTGGGGCTTGGGGATTTTGCTCAGAGTCCGTGTCGAATATCGCACCTAGCAGATCAAGCATACGTGAGAGGACAGCCCGGCGCGGGTGAACGACGGTAGATAAGTATAGTGCACGGTGAACGTTGGGATCAGGTTGGGAGCGTACCCGCTCCCCGTCGATGACTTGTGTTTTGACTTTGCAGGGAAGGCTACCACACCAAGACAAGTGACGAGCAATCAATCCGAACGAGTGTGAGAGCCAGCGAACAATGTGCATGCCTCCTGGGAGCCGGTAGCAGCCTCGCCTCGAACCGTACCCATCCTTAGGGTCGAGAAGGGCGACGTTGGAGTAGTGTACGGGGGCCGGTGATTGCACCAGCGCGGTTTGGTTGGTCTCTTCATTGCGGATGCGACGCGTGTGCTACACGAGCGCCCAGAGGAGGAGGTTACACTCGAAACGCACGCGACAGAATGGGTGTGTCAAGAGCAGCCCGAGCGCTTGAAGCGATGGGGTGGCAAACCTCAAGCACGCCCTCGATGTAGAGGCGGTTCTGCTTGCGGTCCACCCGGAGGACCTTGCCCGACTTGCCAATCTCCGTCTTGGGCCCTTGGATGACCTGCACCTATAACATGTTCCGAAACGATATTCGGGTCGTGAGTGCCTGCGCTGCCGCATGCGTTGCCTTCCCAATCCGACTGCAGATGCGCCAATACATCACGTTGGAAAACAAGGACCGTACAATATCACCGGTGACAATCTTCCACTTTGGAATGGGGTCAGCCAGCTTCGTGCGCTTGCCCAGCATGCGGGCCGCCCGACTCCAAGGGTGCGATGCCATTTTGATGTGTGTGTGTGTGTGTGTGTGTGTGTGTGTGTGTGTGTGTGTGTGTGTGTGGGAGAGAGCAATAAAAAGAAGAGAGAGACACACAAGAGACGGATCAGTGTGATGTTTATCACACTTTTTGAGCTAGTTACTGTGACATTTGATGGACTTGTGTCTTCCAGGCTTTTAGGAGCATGTGGGCAGCTAAAATCCTTTGGATTTGTGAATCTGAATTGTGCTGCGACCTTGCCGGTGACGTGCATGTGAGGTAGCTTGATACCAGTCCCAGCACACAGCCTCCGCACATGAACGATGAAATCCCGCAACCAAACGATAATTACAATGCCACTGCACAAGGGGAGAAGGCAAGAAGCGGGGATGGCGCAGGTTCTGTAGCGTGCAGGTGCACGTCAAAACCCGTTGTTTCCCGCCAAGTGAGCTCCCATTCACTCACAATGACACGACGAATCGGACGGGTAGGCAACTGCTACCCACACGTGAACAAGATACATAGACTTTCTTTTCCTCTAGCGTGTGAGCACTCGGCTCAGGCTTCGATGACAAGAAGGCGCTTCTGCCACAGCTGTTCACAAAGGAGAATGTTTTCTTGCAACTCACCGGGAATGGCCTGAATGGCGCTGGTGCGCCGTTGACCTTGTCCATCCAACTGCATGAGGTGAATCAAAGTGGGCCAGGCACTACCCGGCAGGGTGATGGGGTTGTCGCGAGGCACCACAGCACCGATGGGGTGTAGGGGTGGATTGGAACGCAGGTGACTGGAGGTGGCTGATGAAGAATCGTGCGAGCTGACGTCTCCTGTGTCATTGCTTTCGCGCAGCCCAGAACGGCTGCACGCCGTATCTTCCTCCTCCTCGTCCTGTTCTTCGTGCTCGTCATCTTCGTCTTCCGAGTCGGGCAAAGCTGGTTGCATCATGTGGGTCCGCACGTCGTTGCTCAAGCTGTGCCACACCTTGATCTCAAAATCAGGTTGATCATCCGCTTGCCCATCGTCATTGGACTCGGCACCAGGCGTCGGCAAAGCACGGATGTGATCCGTGTAAACTAGGCGCACCTAAAGACGGATGAATGGCACTTGAGCGTTCAATTGTGACAGCATTGCCTGCGAGGGGAAGCCTCTCGACTCGTTTCCCATACCTTGGTGGTCGCATGAAATACAGGGGTCACTCGGGTCGGCGCTGGGTTGAGTGGATTGCGTCGCAGCGCCGGCGGTGGCAGGCGGGCCGTAGTGTAATCAAGCGCAAACGAGTCAACGGCCTGGTGAAAATGCCTGCAGCAATGTGGCAAGTGGGGGCGGTTGGGTACGTAAGTGCCGGCACGACCAACGCATCGACCGAGGAGCACAGCAGAATACGCTCACCGCTCGATTTCAGACCACACTTGATCAGACTGTAGCAGCTCACGCATCTGCAAAAGAAAACGGCAGGCAAAGGGAGGAAAGTGAATCCTCCATGCCATTCATTCAGAGGTACACAGGTCGGGTTGGGCAACGGACATGATGAAAGACGGCTGATGGTGGTGGTGGGAAGCCGGCATGTAAGACACCATGCTGACGCAAAAATCCATGTGGAAGCCCACGCCGGAGTTCCAGCACGTTGGACATGGCATTCTACATCGTGTGTGAAACGAATGAGGACAAAGAAGTTGCATGCCACACGTTGAGGGCGGGTGTGGCCCAGTACCAACCGTGATGCACTCTGGTAGGGTCTGGGCCATGAGGTGACCGTAGTTCCAGTTTTGATGACTACTGATGGTAATGTGGGTGGAGTGCTGGTTGCCGACGCAAGATGCTTCGTGAATGGTACCGCGGGGCAGGTACAAAAAGTCACCAGGTCGCAGCACTAGCTCGGCAATGGGCTGGGCCAGCTCTTCCCGATCAAGATCAGCACTGTATGACATGGCTAAGGGCTAACTCGGGCAGGCACGAGGTGATGGGAAAGGAAAGAGTAAACCCGAACAAGGGGGGGCGGGGGTGAAGGCAGAGGAGCACACGGTGAGCATGGCACGAGTGACAAATGCTTTGGAAACCAAGTGACGGGTTGCGAGCGATAGGCGGATGGCTATATTTACCTCGATGGGCTCGTAAAGGCGCCAGGCCTTCTCGCCCTCGAGTTGCAAGATATAAACCTCAACGTCATCGTGGTGAGGAGCCAAACCTTGGCTGTTGGCGGGTGTGATGTAGACGTTGGCACCCACGAGGGTGGTGAGCTCCTGCTCGAAGGAGTAGAGCAAATCATGCAAGGCGCGGACAAAGCGTTGCGGCTGGTGAAACTGCACGGTAGCTTTCAAATCCTCGACACGGCGGCGCACGTCCGCTGCGAGCGCTTCCTCTGCCAGCTCGTCCGAGTCGTCCGAATCGTTTGAGTCTTGCTCCTCGGCCCGTTGGCTGTTGGAATGGTTTCCATTGATGGTGGGAAGATCAGTGGTGTCATTGCGGCCACCATTGAGGACCAGCTTGCGCTCGCCGTCGTAGCGGCAGAGGTTAAGGTCGGTGCCGTAGAACATAGACTCGCGTTGGAGCAGGGTGTAAAGCTGGTCCAAGGAAAAGAGTCCTTGATAGACAATGCCAGGATCCCGGTCCTCGCGAGGAATGTAGAGAAACGAGCGTTCAAAGTGCTTGTCAAAAAACTGTTGCGTTGTCATGGGGGCCAGGATATCACCCAGGGTGCGCGGCATGGCGGGACGCTTCTCGCGTTTAGGGGCTGGCTGGCCGGCTGGCTCGGTGTTGACGACGGAGGAGACGGTTTGCTTTGTTGTGGGCTGAGAGTCAGCGGCAGGTGGCATGTTGTTGCTGTTGGTGTCGGAGACCGTCGCCATGATCGGTTGGCAATGATGAACCTGGATTGTAAACCCAGATGGGGAGGAGGCGGAGCCGGCATTAGTTGATGGCTTGGTGGTTTTGCCGTCGCTGCCACCAAGCGGACTGTTTGGCGCGATAAATCGTGCTGCAGGCCAGGCATGAAGCAGCGCGTGGTGTTTCAACTTACCGAGGCCCAGACCAGAGACGTCAATTCGAGCCCAGAATGGCGAACCGCAAGTCACCCAACGAAAGAGCTGAGAGAAAAAAGCAGAAGAGACCTTGGGTGTGTGGGTGACCGGAAGTCGATCGATGGCCGTGACAAAGGAAAAAAAGGGCTGAGGAAGGCGCGGATGCCACACAGGTGAAAGCGAATCAGAGTTTGAGGGTATGCGTGATCAGGGCAAAAAAGAGAGAGAAAAAAGGAAACCCCGCCTCAAAAAAGATTCGAGAGGGTGTGATGAACTCGGTGAGGGGGAGGGGGGGCGATGGCATGGGGGGCCAAAGTGCAGCAGGTGTGTGGTGTGGCAGGGGAAAGAGCAAGCAATTTCAGAAAGACAGAGAAAAAGGTAGTGGTGGTGGTGATGGCGAAGGCGATGCTGACTTCAAGGCCCCCCGGGAGGGCTGTGCCGGCTTGGGTGGGGTTCGAACAGCCACTTTGGTGCAGGCGGGCCTGTGGATGTACCTGAGCTCTGGAGAGATGGAGCGAAAACGTATCGCACAGCACAACCACCAAGCTGCCCACCGCCAATACGATGCGCCACACGGTGAGAACCAAGTGTACAGCGCCTCGAGTCAAACACCCAGCCGACACACGTCAAACCCCCAACAACAAAAGAGGAAAACGCAGAAAAAAAAAAAAAAAAAAAAAAAAAAGGTAATGGGTCGTGACCGTGACTGCTTGCAACGCCCGCTGACCGGAATTATCTGACAATGTGCACCGTTCTCGTGGTCGTGGGGCATTGGCGAAATCAGTGAGATACGGGTTTTTTCTTGACGAGCCAATGTCAGACGATTTTGGTCGGATGAGGCGCGGGCGCGTTTTTCTCTTTTTGAGCGTTCGAGTCATGTCCATGCGCACGATTCAAGAGGGCCTTTGTGCCCGGTGTTGTACGTCGGCTTGGTCGATTGGGGTTGCATGTAGGGGGATGTGCTGTATCACCTGAAGCTGTTTCACCTTCACTTGGCCGTTTGTAAATCCTGCCTACCTGAATGCAGACAAGCGAGCAAAGGATCGGTGTAGCAAGTGTCGTGAGCGCTGGTATTGCTCCGCAGCATGTCAAATCAAGGTCCGTCTGGTGCCGCACACGACACAGAGACCTTCATCAGCCGTCCTTTCTTCTTTTGCAGGAATGCGCCCGGTCTTTTCTCTGTTTCTGTCTCTCTCTCTCTCTCCGTCTCTCTGTGTCTCTCAACATTACAGCATCGGGCTTGCCGTAGGATTGGAAGCTGGGACATCGCTTTAATTGCAACAAAGTTGTGCAACACAGCCCCATCGAGCAGCGTTTGCCTCGGCCTGCCATGTATGTCTGCCTGGACCCCCCAACTACCCTTTGCCATGACATGAGGTATCTGAATCGCATTAAGTGCTTGGCGGCCCTGTATCTTGCTGCAATAGCTCGATTGGCCAGAACGACGTGGTCGCCCAGCATTGGGCAGCTGGTACCCAGGAGCAGAATGGCCTTGGTATTTGCTCATTTGTCGGCCTGCGATCGCTTTTCCCAACTTTTGAAGAGTTTGCCTGCTCTCATGCAAAAGTGTCACATCTTGTTTGCTCCCCTGCTCGACCGTTCCCTCAGTCAACATTAAGAACACGTGCTATATCAATAGCGTCGTGCAAGTCCTAGCCTCACTTCCAGCCTTTCTCGAGGCCATTTATGCGGTACGTGCAAAAAAACAAAGCGCACAACGCGCCTTTTACACCCGCTTCACAACGAATGGCACGCGTTGGCTTACCTGATTGGTTATTGACCAATGCTCAGATGTATGCCAAAAGCTCAAAGGGCATCGACGAGATGCCCCTGACTGTGGCACTTTTGTCTACGCTGGCGGGCATTGTGGACCGCCGTGATCTGGAGAACGTGCCGCGTCTCTTTAATCTCGGCGAAAGCGGATCTCCCGTGCAACCCGCGATGGTTAATGCCCTCGCCCCCATCCCCCTTCTTCAGGCCGTCATGACCAAGCAGTACGTGTCCCGCTCAAGCCCTATAGACTCGCACCCCGCCCCACGGATCGAATTAAGCGCTTCCGCCCCCATCCAGGCCCCATCTGGTGAAGAGTCAACTCATATCCGTTCCTTGTCGACCATGCTGTCAGGTCTACCATGGTCTTTGGTCAACAAGAGGATGCACACGAGCTCTTTCAAATGCTGATGCACGCCATCATCGACGAACTTGCTCCCGACGGCTTGCCCAAGGCGATTCAGGTGGGCTTGGTGGACGATCAAGCGCAGGGCAGTCTCAAGGCCGCCTGTGAATATACAGCATCAAACCAAAGACGAAAGACATATCGCACGAGGACTGAACCATGGCCATGCTGGCACGCCGTTGCTTTTTAGGAAACAACCAGTGTCCATCAACTCTTTCGCAGCATCATCACGAGTCAGCTCACGTGCCCATCCTGCGGCTACAGCAGCAGCAGCTTTGAGTCCCACCTTGACCTTCAGCTTGAAATTGAAGAGTACACTGACACGCTCGAGGAGATGCTTGAAGGTGGGTTCCTGGCGAGCGCCGTCTTGACTCTGGTGTGCCGCATCGAGCCGAGGCAGACTGTGACTCACAACGACTGCCGACTCGACCCCGCCGGGAAACCCCCCCATCTTGCGTCCCAATCAGCCTTCACTTGTCCTGAGCAGCTGGACAAGAGCAACAAGTATCGCTGTGCTGGCTGTGACCAGCTTGTCCGGTATGCATGCCTGCTCTGGCACTGGTCAGCCAACCTTCATCGTCCATTCATTTGTCCTTACCACGCGCTTCGTCACGATATCGGTTCGCTACCGCCTCCCCTAAGTGCACACAAGCAGTTGTCTCTGTACGAGGCTCCCAACGTTTTGGCCATTCAGCTCAAGCGCTTCCGTGCCGGTGCTCACGGCCGCATCGACAGATTTATTCAGTACCCACATCAACTCAACTTGAAGGTGGGCCGCGTTTCAACGTCGAATCCAGCGAATCCAGCCGCTCAGTTGTTAAACGCATCTGATGTCGCTGCTGAACCCGCATTGGGCTGTCTCATGCCTTGGCAATGGCGAACAGAACTACATGACACCTGGTCACCACGACGACGGCAAAATGGAATATGAGCTGTGTGGAATCATCATCCACCTTACCGTCGGGAATTTGACAACCTTTGGTCATTATGTCAGCGTCGTCAAGCAAGGCTCAGGCGATTGGTACGGATGACGCCTGAAGCTTGCGCCCCTGCTTTGCACGCACCCTCAGTGCGCTGGACCAAGCTAAACCTGCGGGGCCCTCGCGATGCGGCTTTTAGGTTGCTTTGCAATGACACTTACACGAGTGTTCTGGCCAAGGAGGATATTGAGAAAACCACCCCGTACATGCTCTTTTACAAGCGGCGAGAGTTTCGTCCCTTGCCCACCGATGTGCAAGGCATCAAGGCTAGTTGTCTGCTCTGCTCTGCTCTGCTCTGCTCTGCTAGTGCTCTGCTCTGCTCTGCTCTGCTCTGCTCTGCTCTGCTCTGCTAGTGCTCTGCTCTGCTCTGCTCTGCTAGTGCTCTGCTAGTTCTCTGCTCTGCTCTGCTCTGCTCTGCTCTGCTCTGCTCTGCTCTGCTCTGCTCTGCTCTGCTCTGCTCTGCTCTGCTCTGCTCTGCTCTGCTCTGCTCTGCTCTGCTCTGCTCTGCTCTGCTCTGCTCTGCGCACGAGCCCCCTTTTGGTTTCCGTTCTTGTTTCAAACAGTTTGTACTTCACGACGAACATGCCGGAGGAAACTTCCATCACTGACGTTACCCGTGTTCTTTCTCTTATGCAGGTGGATCCAGCCGCTGCACAGGAGAAGGAAAAGGGGGTATGTCTCAGCGGTGCAGTGGGCTTGACCCCGAGTTTTTGGGTGTTGGCAAGTGGTCGCGTCATTGGTACACGCCTTTTCTTATTGTTCTTAATGTGCCTGCTCGTTTTCTTAGAAATGCAAGAGCGGTTGCGGTTTCTTCGGCGCAGCCGAATACGGTGGCCACTGCTCAAAGTAAGGCGCCCTCGGGGGCCATGAAATATCATGCGAAAGCCGGTTCCCAACCCCCCGCCCCCCGCTTCCCTTTTTTGTTTTTTTTTTAATTTGTTTGTTGCTTTTTTCCGTGGGGTGCAGGTGTTTCAAGGCGCTGTCGCCCGTTGAGCAAGATGCATGCAAGCAAGCGGCAGTAGTGGATGCCGCACAACCCAACGAGCCAGCTGCAGTCTCAAGTTCGGCCGTCCCACCGGTCGCAGCTGAAGCTGCAGCTGCTCCTGCCCCTGCCGTGACGCAAGCGCCAACGGATGTTGCTTCTTTGCACAAAACAACGCCTGCGGCTTCTAAGAAGTCTGCACAATCTACACCGGCGGCCTCACGTACCTCCAGCGGGTCGACCGCCGCGGCTGGTGCCCCATCAGGCCGCAAAGTTGGTCGCAATGAGAAATGCCCTTGCAACAGTGGACGCAAGTATAAGGCCTGTCACGGCAAGCAGTAAGGCAGCCGTGCACAAGGTTTTTTCCGTTCCTCCATCAAGACCCCGGGACTGATTGATGGGGACGGGACACGATGCTTTCATGTTGGGGCCACCTTCTTCTTTTTTAAGTTTACCCCTTGAAAATAATACTCTTAAAAGCGCGATGTTTGACGCACTTTCGCTCGCTTCCCACACCCGAAGCGAGACCGACAACGCCAACAGGAGAAGAAAGAGAAGAAGCTCCAAAAGGGCAGTCACTGCTCGTGCCTGGTGTTTCCGCTGAAACACGGACCGCACGAGTACATTTCTTTTTGGGGGTGTGTTCAGTGCGGCAGTGCTTCGCCAGTAACTGCTGCTCAGCAGTTGCGTCAGAGAGGACCAGAAAGACCTCTGTGACGTAGAGCGGAGCTGCTGAGGACAGACAAGCCTTTCGACTGTTCTTCTCAAGTGTCCTCAGATCGATATTGCACGGCGGCAATCGCAATGCGCAGCAGCCTGAAGGTTGTGCGGCAGCCAGCAAACCAGCTCAAAGCCTTGATCCTTGTCAAATAGGCGACGCCGCCTGCTTTTCCTTTCTCGTCATTATCCTCGGTTTTATTTTTGTCTTTATTTTTCCTTCGCTTCTTGTTCCTGCAACGACTGGCATCATGTCACACGGGGGAGACATTGAAGACCTCTTGGCTGATGCCGACCAGTCGCTTGCCATGACCTATGGCTTGTCGCGGTACGACTTTATTGTCTAAACCGATTGGACATCAATCACACTTGGTGGCCCTCCTTCACTGGGCTGCACTGTGTTAGGTTTTATGTGGAATCCAATCCCAACGAAGCCCAATTGGCTCCCGCGGCGCCCACCCACCGCAACAAGGACAAGGTTTGCCCGCCCCAAGCAGGCGTGGATGCTACGTGGCCACGATGACTCACATCGCCGCTTTTGTTCCGTATCTTTTTTTTATAGCAACCAAAAAGCAAGACCTTGACCCTCGGGCTCATTCTTTGCCTAAACATTGGCGTGACCCCACCAGACGTCGTGCGCACTCACCCCTGTGCCAAACTTGAGGCCTGGATCGGTGCGTTTGTGTAATCGTGTGTGCGTGCAGCTATTTCTGATCACTCTCTATCCGAGAGCCCCAGCGCCGTGAGCTTAAACTTTTGCTTTGTGTCCTGTTGCTGAACCTTGCTCTGCTGTGCAACACCAGATCCCGAGGAGAAACCCAAGGCCATCGAGCTCATCTCGCAGCGCTTGACCTCGCAATACCTTCGCTGGCAGCCCAAGGTACCTCCACTTTCTTGACTTCAAGTAGGGCCAGTTGCAGCTTTCCCCTTACGCTGTGACTCATGATGGCGGGGATTGGCAGGCCAAATTTCGCCAAGCGCCCGACCCCACCCTCGATGAAGTGAAACGGCTATGCTTGGCTTTGCGTCGACGCGCCAAGGATGAATGCGTTCTCTTGCATTTTAATGGCCATGGCGTTCCCCGGTACGTGGGCATTCAATGCCTTCGTGTCCCACAGGCTAGGAGCTGTCTTGTATGCTCTGCAGCGCACACACGATTACTGACCTCTCTGTCGCTGGTACGCTGGCTAGCCCGACGGCCAACGGCGAGCTCTGGCTATTCAACAAGGATTACACCCAGTACCTTCCGGCCTCCATTTATGACATTCAGTCGTGGGTGGGTGCCCCAACCATCTTTGTCTACGACTGTTCCGGTCAGTGGCGCATGCAGTGTATGGGTGGCGTCGTGTCAGGGCGTGCACGAACCATCACTCTCTCACAATTATGGCACAGGTGCCGGCATTTTGGTTGAAAAGTTCAACTACTTTGCCCAGCGCCGAAAAAAGGGTGCGTCAGGCTTGCACTTGGCATTGCACTAACATGCGTGCGGCTCGTGTCACGCAGTGCTCACGCTGGGCAATGCGGCCCTTGCGCTGCCCTAGACATTCACCGCCAGCCCAGCGTGGCCAATGCTGAACAGATGCAAGACTGCTTGCAGCTGGCCGCGTGTCGTGCCGATGAAAGCCTGCCCACGAGTCCAGACTATCCTGCGGATCTCTTTACAGCTTGCTTAACCACGCCCGTGGAGATGGCGCTGCGCTGGGTGTTTACCACCAAGCAGCAACGCCTTTTGCCTCATGTGACCCTCGACATGCTGGATGATTTGCCTGGTTAGTTGGGCTGCATTGACGTTGATGCCTCACGCATCTAAGCACCATAAGAGCAGTGTTACTCTTACACGCACAAGACGAAGGACAACACCAATAATAACAACCATGACAACAACACTCGCCCTCGTTCCATTTCATTTCAATAACCTCAAATATACTCGTGCCCTTGCTGATTTCAGGTCAGCTATCGGATCGCACCACCATGCGTGGGTCTCTCAACTGGATCTTCACAGCCGTGACCGACACCATTGCATGGGAAGTCCTCCCTATTAGCGTTTTTCAGCGCATCTTTCGCAACGACTTGCTTGCCGCAGCCCTCTTTCGCAACTTTCTGCTGGCCGTTCGCATCATGCGCGATGTAAACTGCACTCCCGTCTCCGAGCCCCCACTGCCGCAAACGCATGATCATCCCATGTGGGAGGCTTGGGATTGTGCTGTCGACTTTTGCCTGGCACAGCTGCCTGCAGTTGTGCATGGCGAGCAGGAGTTTCAGGAGGCACCCTTTTTCAACGACCAAATGACTGCCTTTAGCGTCTGGCTGGATTTGGTCGAGTCCAGTGATGCCGAGGTCCCCAAAGCGCCCGAACAACTGCCAATTCTGCTGCAGGTCCTTCTGAGCCAACCTCATCGGTGCGTCTCTTGCGCGCCCCAGAAAGTGAACGTCGTCCTTCTTTGTTGTCTTGAGACTTGTGGGAAGGGTTGGTAGAATGGCCAATGGCAAACTCTCCTTCTCAAACCAATGCAACTCAGTGCCGTGTGGTCCAAGCTTGGCTCTTGGACTCAGAACAGTGCTTGCGCTGACTGACAACGGTATTTGGGCCCGGTATGCCGGCTCCCTGCCTCACACACTCTACCATCTGCCCGTACGGTTAGGCTGCGCGCCTTGGAGCTGTTGAATCGTTTCATGAGCTTGGCGCCATGGGCAGTGGAGCAGACGCTGGCCGTTGGCATCTTTCCCTACGTGTTCAAGCTCCTGAGCTCACTTGCTGTGGACTTGCAAGAGGTCCTTGTGAGCATCTGGGCTCGCATCCTGGTCGTTGATCGATCGGTTGGTGCCTCTCCGCCTTTGCGCCAAGTTGACGGCGCTGCCATCATGGACCCTGTGCAGTTTGACTCACCCCTGCTATGTTTATGATGCCTCCCATGGCTCCTCGCAGCGCAAGCAAGACCTCCTTAAGCCACCCGGTTCCGTTGTGCGCCGTTCATCCGGCAGAGGCAGTGATAAGGTAGTGTCTGACAACGCCGCCTCCACCACCACTGACCGTGCCAGGACCATTTTTCACCCGCACACTTTCAACTTTTGGGCGCTGTTGCCGGCCATTTCGTCGATGTTAGGCGTTTATGTACTTTGTCAACATTCTCAAGGATGCAGCGCAGCCCCCAGCCTTGCTGGCGGCCGCCGCCTTTATTCTTGTCATTTTCCTGGAGGATCATCCTGAAGGTCAGGCCCTCAGTTTTGCCGTTTGGGCCTGTTCTCCAAGCTGCATGGGCGTGCCTCCGTGACCAATAATAAACTTGATGCAACGCCGGCGTACACTGCAGCACAAGACATTTGCCTGCGTGCAGATTTGATTGCCGTGGCAGCACAGCTTTTGGATCCTGCTGTAACTACGTCTTCTACCTTGCGCAAATGGGTTGCACTTCTCCTGGGCAAACTGTTCAATGGCCATGAGATGGCTCAGCGTGAAGCACGATCCAAGGTGCTCGTTGTTCTACGTTTGACAGAGTTGCTCCACGATTCTTCGCCTCAAACCCGCGCCGCCACCGTCTATGCCCTGGGTCACCTCATTTGCGGCGGTGAGGACGACGTCGACATGAACGTTTCCACAATTGGGTCAGCCTTGATTAGCATCCAAGACGATGGCAGGTCAGAGCAAATGGTCGCATGATCCTCCGCTGGCTCGGTGTCTGCTCGAATTCGTGGTGCCGCTGGCCCACACCTTTGGGCATGGCTCGCGCTCCTATGCTCAGTTGGGAAGAGTAGACGCAGTGTTTCTCACGTTAATGGCCGCATCGTATCATAGTCATGTGGTGCGCATGGAACTGGCCGCCTCGCTGTCACCGCTGGTGGTATTGTACACAGCTCAGCTCATTGATGCGGCCTCAGCCTTGAAGCGAGCCGACTCACTGGCCATGCGCCTCCCATCGGACGAACCGTTTATCCTCGTGCTGAAAAGCCTGCTTCTCTTGGCTACTGACCCTTTTCCAGCCGTGGCAGAGACGGCGTGCACGCTCTTGGCGCATCTGGGCATTCGCGTATGTTGACCACTGCTAATTACTGTTGCGCACTTTGTTGCTTTTGTTGGCCGGCGGGTGTCTTTTCTATTTTCTATTTTTTTTTTTTTTTCCTCCTCACAGACACGCTCTTGTCCTTTTTTTTCATTCATTGATTCAGGCCACCCGCAAGCCTATGAAGCTCCGAGAAAAGCCCATGCCCTCACGTCCTCGCGACATTGCGAGCTCCCCAGCCACGCCGACGCTTCCTGGAAGCCCTGGGTTTGGGTGAGTGTTGTTCTATTCGCAGTGGCAAACAACGATCTCATTGCCCTGTACCACATGTTGTTCGCGCGTTTTGTCAAATCAGCGCATTACACATAGCGTGTGTTCGTGCTCTCTCTCTCTCTCATACCCATGTGCCCGGATCTGACAGAGCCATGAGTTTGGACGGCTTAACTGCATCCTCGTTGGGGCCCCACTCGCCAATGTCTCTGGCATCTTCCTACGTCAGCCTGTTGCCCTCGGCCCGCGCTCAAATGCACCAGCCCGTTCGTGACGACCTGCGTGACCTGGTCGAGCTCCTCGCCACAACCGCACAGCAGCTGGAAGAACAGGAACAGGGCATGGACCGCGATCCCCGTGAGGCTCTGTCTTCAATCTGCCTTCAATTACGCCGCATTACCGAGGCAGCTCCATCAATTGTGCGACAGCTGCAGGGATTGGGTTGGAATGGTCATCATTTCGAGCAAGGCGTGCAGCCCTCCATCCTCCGTGAAGTCATTGTCACGCTCCGCCAGTACATGTGTATGTTGTGCGCTGCACGGCAAATGGAATGTTGCCTGCCATCGTGCCAAGTCAGCCATTCATGTATCGTGCACATTGCTCGTCGTTTGTTCTTGTAGCCGATGCGGGGCAGCCTGGAACCAATGTGGGGCTTCGCCTAGCACACACCAATTTTGCGCGCACGGCGATCGATTCGTTCTGTTTGTGGCAGCACAACAAGGACAGCGACGCTTATGCCAAGGTATGCCATCTTTCTGTCTTTTTGTGCCACATCTCCACCAAGATGAACCAGGCTCAAAGTACAACATGGATGTCTCACGACGATGACATTGAATATCCTGGGCCATTACCAGGCTGAAGACTTGGACTGGCGCCGTGAGCGTTCACACGATGCCCAGGAGCGGGCTGGAGCCCTTGTTGAAGCGCCTGAGCGGCTTGTCAAGCCCGTGGATGCAATGTTTCACAAGTTGTGCACTGAGGTAGGGCCCCACGTAGCCACCTCTGCCCTGCCCGTTCCTTACTTCAAAGTCTTTTGGGCCCTTGCAATGATCGCAAGCCTCACAGCGTTTATCTGCTGCGGTTTGATTACATGACGCTAGTCCTTTGACATGCTGGCGTTTCACCCCCATGACACGTTGGTGGCGGCGGCGAATAAGGAAAGTGGCAACGTGCACGTGTATGACATGACCAATGCCCAACCACCGGTCATGTTTTCCTCCAAAGCAACCAAGCACGGCGCCATCTCCTCCATCAAGGTCATCAACCCAGACCTGGACTCTCTGCTGCTAACGGGCTACGCTGACGGCACCGTGCGCCTCTGGCGGGATTGGTCAACGCCCAATCCGGGCCTCCACTCGGCCTGGCGAGCTGGTTAGTCTTGCTGCCGTGCATGATAGGCCAGTCAGAGAGGGTTTTGTCGATGAAAAGACGAGTAGTTCCCCCTTCTGTTTCCTCTTATTCCATGTGGGGATGACGATAATGCTTCTCACCCATTCCATGACAATGATACGCCCTGGTGGCGTATGGAAAATTGGCGCAGTGTCTAAGATGCGTGAGTCCAGTGACGGCGTGGGGGCTGGCCTAGTGCTGGAATGGGATCAAAGCAGCGGACAGCTGATCGCCACGGGGGACATTAACTATCTTCAGGTCTGTGAGCAGCTCAAACGTCAAGCGTCGAGCCTTCGTGACCAGATACTCAAGGATTTTGGCGCCTTGGGGGGGGGGGCTTAGATTTGGGATGCGCGCAGTGAAATGCGCACGCGCAAGCTGTCTAGCAACATTGACAGCTGCATTACCAGGTATGTGGGTTAAAGCAGCAAAACACTTTTTTTTTTTTTTTTTTTTTTTTTTAGGCTACAACACTTTTGACAATTTTTTCCCCTTGTCCGCAGCTTGTGCATTGATCGGGATGATCCACAGCGACTGCTGGCTGGGTACGGCAATGGTCTGATTCGCCTCTTTGATCTGAGGCACAGCGACGACCGCGCCGTCGTTCAGCAGTACAGCGTACACCAAGACTACGTACGCTTCTTTCTTTTCAGCGCTTGCTCGGGGGAACAAATAACTGCCTCGCTGTGATAGTCCTGTTTCGGGGTTTGATGGTGTATATTGTCTTTGGGGGCTTTCTGCTAGATTGTGAGCGTGCACTCGGCCAAAGAGAGCGAGCGCATGATGTCTGGGTCTCGAAGTGGTCAGATCCTCTGGTGGGACTACCGTTACCCAGGCCAGCCTATCCGCACGATGACGGTAGGATATCACAGTCCATGCATACCATTGATGTTCAAATACAATGCCCTTGATCACACCACACCTGTGTTGTGACTGGCCCTGTGCAGGCACATCGGACGCGCGGAGATGTGGTCTTGCAGTGCCTTGACACGCACGATTACGCACCCATTTTCGCTACGGCCAACTCGCTGCAACAGTTCAAGGTGCGCCTTTTGTCACTTGCAATTATCAAAGCCTTCAGATGAGACGCCGGCAGATTGGGCTGGGGGGTCTTTGGTATTTGCTGCTGTGGGCCCAACCTCACGGCATCGGACAACATAGATCTTCAACAAGCAAGGTCAATTGCTCCATCACCACAAGCACTACACAAACTTTCTCGGCGAGGCCATCGGTCCCATCACGGCACTCAAGTTCCACCCTTATGAGGCCAAATTGGGCGTGTCTTCCCTGGAAAAGCTTTTGACCGTATACTCGGCGCCATGCTAAGTTAGAGCTTCGTGGTTTAGGGGGCAGAGAACTACATAGTGTATCATGTGCGTACTATTTGTGCAATTTGTTTTCGTGTTCGTGGTGTGGGGGTTCGTCACGCGGGGCCTCGAACAAGGACGACGAGGGAGGAGTTGCAAACGTATTGGAATTCACTCTGGATTGTGCAAACGGGTGAGCAAGACTGAGTAGCTAAAAGCAAGGGTTGAAACGGACAAGGAAAACACAAATCAAACAAGCAAAATAAGTCATTGGCAGCTTTGCGAGTGAACAAGTCTGCTTTGCAGACGGGTGCTTATCGGACTGCTTGCGACCCTAACAAGGGTTTGCACGCAGAAAGGGGGTGGGATGAAGGAAGGGCGCTGCCAGATACGTTCGGTTTGTTAGGATCGACTCGCGGTCGACATGACTTGCTCAAGGTAAGCCACAGCGTTTTGCTTTTGAAAGCGCTGCGCCAGACCAAGGGCAGTGACCTTTTCCGTGCGGTTGATAAGCGCAGGGTTGGCGCCCCGCTGGATGAGCAGCTGTAGGGCCAGTACGTGATCATAGCGGGCGGCATAGTGTAGGGGACGCCAGTGGTTGTGATTTTTGGCGTCAATGTCCGCGCCGCGATCCAATAAGATGGCCATGACAGACAAACTGCTCACCTGAGCCGCGTACATGAGCGCGGTAACACCATAGCGCTCGCGCACGTCCAAGTCCACCTGATGATCCAGAAGCCAGATTGTGCTCTGACTTGCGTTGGATAGAGCAGCAAAGTGCAGTGCTGTTCGCATCATGGGGCCGGTTGCCTGGAGCACTTCGGGGTGGGCTGACCAGATCTTTTCCATGGTGGCGACATCATTCAAACTGGCAGCCCGAAAGAAGCTGGTCACGTAATTTTTTTGAGTCTGATCATTCTGACGCACCAGAGGCGGCATAGCCGCACCCCCCTGCGGCCCCAGCATGACGAGCCATCCCACCACTACCAACGCAAACCCATGTGTTGATACCATGACGCCTCGTCACCACGCCTGCAAACATGAAAAGGTGTTGTCATGAACTTGATCTCTCACATCTTGCGATTTTTTTTTTGCATTTTTAGCACCTTCTTTGAGGTTTAATAACCCTTTGCTATTCTTGTGTGTGTGTGTGTGGACGCTCATCGTCTTCTTGTGTGTGTGTGTGTGTGTGTGTGTGTGTGTGTGTGTGTGTGTGTGGCATCGGCCGCGTTGTTTCAAAGGTCAATTCGATATCGGGATGTCTGGGCAAAATTGTTGAGAGCTTGAGTCGTTGTGTACAAGGCGCTATGCACAAGGGTTCGTATAGGGAAGAGATCAGCAAGGACGACACACACACAGAATATAGGCAAGACTGGTCAGTTAAGGGAAAGGTTGGGGAGCTAAAAGAGTCTGGATAATACCGCTAAATCACTCAATCGATCACTTGCTAACAGGCTTGCCTCCCGCCTGTGAAGCGGCCGGCTTCTTCTGTCCCGCCTCGTTCATTTGTGCCGCGAGATCCTTGGGCGAGTCAGCCAGCATTTTCGTGCCCATTTCACCACCCATCATTTGCTGAGCCATTCGGGCAAAGTCGGCGCTGGCCTCGGGACGACCTGACAGCATGGATGCCGAGGACATTTGACTCAGCATCATCATTTGCATCATTTGCGCCTGGGCCATTTGAGCCATCAACTGCTGCGGGTCTAGAGCACCGCCATTGGGGGGCATCATCATGGGCATCATCATGGGCATAAACATGGGTGCCGGTGCAGAAGGGTGCCTGCCGGGATGCATGACCGTGGGCAACGCCGAATGGTCCATTTGGGAGGCAGATGTGCTCTCGTTCTCACGACGAGCTTCGCTTGCCTCGCGCTCGTCCTGTGCACGGTCATGGTGGGTAATCTTGGTCTTGGCACCCGTGGGCGCAGCGGTCGTGGTTTCGGCGTTGTGGTGACTGGACAATGAAGAGTCGGTGCGATAGCCGTCCTGAGGCTCCTGGGAGCCGGCGCGACTGTCATGGTCATCCTGGGCGCCGTTGCTTCGCCGAGGCGAGCATCCGCTTTCCAGCGTCTGAGTGAACAACAGAGAAACACACACATGACCAATGAGAAGAGAATAACCTGTTGCGATGATGTTTTCTTCAATCTGGGAGAATGATAAAGGAAGCCAAACAGAAGACAAAAGCACCGTGGCGGAGGAGGGGCACGTACCATGCGATCAACCGAGGCCAGTTCGCTGGGTGTGTGTTTACCCAAGTGCATTTTTAAACTGGATTTTTGGGTAAAGCGTGTGCCACACAAAATGCACGAAAAGGGTTTGTCGCGCGTGTGGACGCGCGAGTGGCGCACCAGCTATGCAAAGGGCAAGCACCGAAAAGTGAGCAGCCACGGGCAAATGCTCGGGGGAGGGTGTCTGATGAACCTGTGCAGCTCAGGCTTGAGGACTTGGAACAGCACATTCAACTGACCTTGCTAGTGCTGGGGAAGACTTTGGCGCATTCGGCGCAGCGGTGCACCTTTCGGCCGCTCAGAACGCCTGAATGGCCGACGCAGAGTTGAACGAGGCCATCCTCATCGGATGCGGCCACCTCGGCGTACACGGGAAGCCAGGGACCATGGGTGGGGCTGGGCATGTTGGAAAAGAGGGACTTGCCGAGCATAAAGCTGCCAGCCTCCGCCTTGGGGCGCTTGGAGGCGGGAGCAGATAAAGTCCTGAGCCCACTGGCGTCAACTGCGACCTGCTGGTCGTCTTCGTCGTCTCCTGAGCCTTCGCTGGCATGGTCGCGGATTTGATGAATGGCCATGATGGCGGCGCTGGGGTGAGACGACGACGTGGCGGCAGTGGCAAGGGAGGGAGCGGTGGCAGACTGGTTCTGGGTGGAGGCCTTGTCCGCGTCAATGGCGGGGCTGGCTCGCTTGGCGGACTTGGGGAGTGGCGAGCGCTGGACCTGGCTTGGGAGTGGGTCGTTTTTGCCGGCCTCCTCGACCAGGGCCTTGGTTGGTGTGGGTGTGGACATGGCGCTTGGTGCGGAGACGGATTTGGCAGTGTCCGCATTGGCCTGGTCGAGGGCGGGAGTGGGGGTTTTGGTTGCGTGTTTGGCCGAGCGTCCTGTGGGGCTGGCAGGTCGGGCGGTCCTGCTCTCGAGGTGAGCCGAGTGGGAGGGGGATTTGCGGCGACGCTGGACGGTGGCGGTTGAGTGTGCAGATTTGCCGGGGGCGGAGGAAGTGGTGGGGGCCGTCCCGATGGGGGTTTCTTTGAGCTCGGTAGTGTGCTTGGCACAGTGAAGGTTGAGCAACAGGGCTGCAGCAGATTCATCGTTGTCCTCGGCCATGACTCTGGTTGATGTGGGGGACATGAGCGCGGTAGGCTTGCGGGAGGAGAGGGCAGCGGTCAGAATGGTTGAGCCAATGGCAACCTGGGCCGCCGCCGGGATCAAGTATGATGGAGTCAAGACGGGCTGACTAGGCAGTCTGCAGGCAGTCGCGGCCATAGCGGTAGGCGGGAGGCCCAACAAGCACACCAGGGTTCGAGTCAGTTGCGGGCACGGTCAGCCGTTCATGTGTGCCATTGAGGGGTGGAGGGGGGGAAATGAGTGCTTCAATGGGGCTCTCATGAGTGCTCAAATAGGGGATGTGTGGAAAGGGAAAGGGGGGGCGCCAAGGGATGGCGTGCACACGGCCCTCTGGATGGGATGGCTTTGTGAATGGAGGGAGCGAGATGGCGCAGGGCGTGTGCGTGCCGTTCTGTGTGTGTGTGTGTGTAATCTGTGAGAGACCGAGTTGATGCACCACCCACAAAACCCAAGGCAGAGAGATACGAGAGAGGGTGAAGCAGCAGCAGTAGCAGTGACTCCGACGTTCGTACAAAGGTCAAGAGAGGCCAGAGAAAGGAAAGAAGGAAAGAATGAAGGGAGGAAGGGAGAATCGTGTGTGCTCGTGCCAAAACACACACGCACACGCCAAACAAAAGGCATCATCTGAAACGGTGATATGATGGAGGATGATGTGAAACACATACACACATATCACACATATCACACACACACACACATACACAAACACAGAGAGGGCCTGCCTAGTCTCAACGGCATTCCCACATGACATACATGTGCACGGAGCAAGGACCGAGGGCAACAATGGGGAAGAACCAAGCAAGGCACGTCACGCGACATCCCAGGTCAAAGGTAGGCAGGCACACACACATTCACACACACACACCCAGAATGCAACGGGTAAAGGGGAAGCGTGTGCAAACCCCACACTTGGAGTAGATGGTTCGATAGGAACAAAAGGAAACGCGGTCATGTTCTTCACGCAGGGTGTGTGTTTCGGAGCAAAAGCAGCGTGGATGGGAGACGGAAGGGTGCTACACATCATCACATTTTGCCGCGGGATAGCACACAGAAAGATCACACGCCCGATTTGATGACAACCGGGAGACTACCCAGCCAAGAGGAGGGGGGGGGGGGGGGCACAAGCTGGCCACGGCACAAACCACACATGCAAGACTCCACTGGGATAGGGATCAAGTAGTCCACCAACCAAAAATGGTGCTCTGTGTGTGTGTGTGTGTGTGTGTGTGTGTGCAGCTGTTGGGTGGACGTCGGGTTGGCTTTGGTGTCTGTATCTCTGTATCTGTCTGTGCTGTCTGTATCTCTGTATCTGTCTGTGCCTCTGTGTCTGTCTGTGCCTCTGTGTCTGTGTCTGTGCCTCTGTGTCAACGAGGCGCGCGCGCGGGAGAAGGCAGGGAGGGAGCACAAGGGCCACATGCCGTGACGGCAGTTGGCCCTGGCCGAGAGCATAAAGTGTAAAACTCAAGCAAAATGGTCGTCGGGTGGACGCGCGGTGTTACCTTGGGAAGAGGGAGCCGACCACAAAAGTGGAAATGGGTCCAGTCTAGCTAGAGCTTGAGGCACGCCTGTGGCGACCCGCACCTTCAACACCTTCAACGAGACACCCTAAAGAAGCAGGTGGGGCAGCGGTTCATACGGCAAGGGCCCGGCCGTTTGGTGCTGTGAGACTGTTGTCAGTCAGCGGTGACCACGGCGGCAGGGACCAACACAGGCACATGGAAGCACCGAAGCAGTAGCAAGCCTGGTCCAACCCAGCAGACCAAAGCCAGCGACCAACTAGGCTGCGCTGTTGCACGCCAACCGCGCACGCGTGGAATGGCAGCAGCAGAAACAAGAAGAAAGATGCTCGACCTGGAGCAGAGCAAACATGGAAGCAGACGAGGCAGCGGGGACTAACCGACCGTTTGGAGAGGCAAAGGCTATAAAAAGAATGGCAGCAGCGGGGCTCTTGGGTAGCGCACACCCACACAGCCAAGGCAAAACGGAGAAGCGGCAGTGCGAGCACCACCCCACCACCAACGACGAACGAAAAAGAAAGTCAAGTCAAGGCTGAAGCAAAAAAAAAATAGACCGTTCCACCAACCAAACGTGGTTGACGCGGTCTTCAAGTCTTCAAGCAAGGCTGGAGCTGACCAGGCAGCAGTTGGCAGCAAGCACCACAGAGAAGCCGCAGCCGCCCAAGACGAGGGACAAGGTTGAGACGACAGTCGGGAGGGGGGGGGGGTATGTACGTCAAGTGATGGGAGGGGGGGAGGGGGTGTGGGCTTGGTGGGGGTGGGGGTGGCCTGCCACCAGAGCGCGAGTTGGCCCATTGTCACACTTTGCTGGTACAAGAAGGTTGGTAGGCGCTAGGCTTTTGCTTTTTGCTTTTGCTTTTTGCTTTTGCTCTTGGTGCCGCGTCTCCTCTGTCTCTCTCTGTCTCTCTCTCTGTCTCTCTGTCTCTCTCTCTGTCTCTCTCTCG